TTGCACTTACCACAAAAAGCGTTTTATAAATATTAAAATAAGATGATTCAATTTATTTTTGTTATTAATATAAAACAATACTGTGGCTTATAAATCATACTGTTTAGGTCAAACAAAGATTCCATTTTTGGAAAATCTTTTTTTATACATTATAAAGAACATAATACTAAAATAGTATTTACTTATTATTGCATATCTTTATTTTTCCAGTTACCATTAATAATTCGACTGCAATTAACAGTGTACAATTTTTAATGTAAATTGCAATGTTTTTAAAAAGTAAATGTAATGAAATATAATATTATTATGCTTAGAATATTCTAAACTTCATAAAGATCTTTATGTTTCAAATAAATTTATTTTCGTTTTGTTTTCTATCACCAAAATAATTACATTTATTCCATATTAACATATGGACGTTTGATTATAAAAATGCGTTGATTATCATTCTATGAAACCTACTCACATTTTTCATAACTTATTGATTATCTATTCAATTTTCATGAGTATTATGTTTTGCTATACAAGAGATAAACATAATAATAAAAATCGTCAAAATTTATTATTCGAACTTAAGACTGTATCTATATAAAAGTATAAAATATCGAGTACTAAAAATATAGTATGAGTATTTAATCAAAGAGTTAATTGAATCAATAAATTTGTGTATTAAAATATATCCGATGATCTTGCTCATTGGCATAATGAATAGTAGTTGTTCATTGACTTAATGAACGAGTTCATAGTATAATTGATTGAAATGTATTAATATAAGAAACACAATAATAAATTTAACGCATGATGTTTGTAATATAAATAACATTGTCCATTGATATTATGAACTATTTTTTTTTGTTTCCACGTTCAAAAAAATGTAAAAATAGTAAGCCAATAACATTTTGATCTCTTTTAATAATCTTTAAAAGTCGCCAGATTTATTAGAATCCAACTCTAACCTATTTATCACTATTCTAGCAGAAAAAACGTCCTAATTGAATCTACACGTGGATTGTCTTTGATGTCCAAAATTTATATCTTTTAAAGACAATACTCAACTTAGCTTCATTGTCACAAAATTTGTTTAAGAATGCACACATTGATAAGAACTTTTTTGTGGTAATTCCTTATTAATCTTTCTTTACAAATAATTTCATTAATAAACACATTTATTGTTTTAATAGATAATTTCTATTGATGATTTATTAATATATAATAATTTTGATATAGTTATTTAATAAAAAATACATTGAGCCATTGAATATGATAATTATTGGTTAATATTAGCTGTTCATAAATATTACGAACGGTTTTTTTTCAATGACTATATCATTTATATGTTGATAAATTTTATAGTGAATGGACAGTTCCCCTCAGTTGCGTATTCAGAATTTTATCTTGGGAGAGAGGTAAACATATGAAAATATTTTATTTTTCTCTGCAAACAAAAAAAGTAGTATCTTCCCCATTTAATTATTTTTTATCATAAGAGGGTCTACACGCGGATTTACTAGTGGTGTTCCTAGGAATTACTTTTCTTTGATTAAGAATCGATCTCTAATGTCTAATGACTTGAAAAAAATATTTATACCTTTGTCAAGGTAGTAGCTTAAAAATGTATGTATGGAAGATCATATTCATAGAGTATAGATCATAGAGTCATTAGTGGGAGGCTCGAATATTTCTATGAAAACTGAAGCTTCCACAGCCCCATGCAAACTGCGCTAAAGGTCTTTCTAAAAGCGCAATTCGATCAAAATTTTTGGGGACCTAACATAATTTATACCTTTTTTGAAAAATATTTTTGTATAAAATGTATGTAATTTTTCTCATTTTGGTGGACCGGCTAAACTCACTCTAAAACCCTCATATTGTGTCTATGCTTGTAAATAGAAAAAATGTATATAATTCTAATTTAACAGGTTCTTTTAAAAAAATATTACATTGCATTTATTTAAACTAAATAGATTATGTTAATCATTTTTATTTAAAAATAAGTAATTAAAAAGTTAGTTTGATATAAAAATATGTATATAGTAAGAAGAGGTAGAGGAAGACCAAAAATGAGATAGAAGGATGTTATTGAGTGCGATACGAGGACGGCTAATGTTTAGGATAAGGGTGGCCGACCCCAAATAGTTATGATAAAAGTAAGGAAAAAAAAGAAGTTTGACAAAAAAACTAACCCTACTGGTCTTTTTATTTGTGTGTTCTAATTCACTGCTAAAATGTAATAGTTTTAATATTTATCATAAATATGCAATTCAGTTCTTACTATGCATTATTTATATTGCAATATTTGCATACAGAAGGAATTTTTCCGCAGTTTTCATTTGTATGTACATTGAAATATAATTAACAATTCAAATTTTGTATTCATTTAATTTACTGTAAATTACACGTCACGTGCCAACTAATACACATTAAATTATCTGAATAGGTTTAGAGTTCATATTTTTCTAGCGTCTTTCCAAATGACGACAAGACATATGTCGATCATAAACATGTTTTGCAAGTACCCAATAATTTTAAATGTTAATACATTAAATCGGGTAGACTGGCGATTGTCATCTGGTCTGATATTTTTTATTATTTTGAGCACCGACTATGTTAAAGTTGTAGTTTATAGAAATTTCAAACATATAGCTGCCAGTGTGTAGTGACCGAGTACGCGGAATAATAATATATTCTGGCTTCGGTTATCGATCGCTGTTAGTTGGCTGACATTTAGGAGGATCAAATGACCTAAATATATCTTTTTTTTAAATCATTTGTAGAATTTTTTTATATTTTGCTTCTGCAGCTTTTTAATTATGTTGAATATCTCTATAGATTCATTTGTGTTATAAAAATACTATAAGTTCCTTTTCAAAAATCAGCCAAACTCCGTTGCAAACAATTATGAATTCTCTGTAAATCTTCAGTTCAGTTCAGTTCAGTAAAGTTCAGTTCAGAATACATTTGTTGGGAGCTACAAATTTATACGAGCTAAAGGATTTGTAATACTCTAATCGTACACCACTAGACAATACATAAAATCGACAAAAATTGATTTGCACGTTTACAGATCAAATGGTTCATTTGTTAATTGAACATATCCTGAATCTATTACAGAAATAGGGTTAATATTGTTATTATAACGTGGGATATAAAATAATACAACGATTCCAAGCATCTGAACGATAATATTCATAGTACATTATAAAACGACACTCACGTTAATGCAACTTTTTTGGGTAGATACTATATAATTCTGGGAAATGATAATTCATTTTTTATGTTTTTTTTTTCATGATTATTATTCATGAAACTTACACTAACCTGAAGATTAATAAAATTAGAAGTCTATTATTGATTAACGTTCAGGAAAATATTCGTTACATTATCAGCGTAACTTAAATAATTAATAATTGATGACTAATCACAAATGATTTAAACGGTTAAATCAAACAGAAATTTTCCTCGATTGTTTTCACTGGAAATTAATCGTAAGGTAGATTTTAAATTGATAATTAAAATGATATAATAAAACAAAACGAATTAGCCGAATAGAAATAAAACTATCTCGTTAAAAGATGATGATAAGGCATTTGTACAGATGTTGGATAATATTTTCATATCTAAAAATCCTACGTCATTACTACTAATGTCACTTAAAGAATAACAGACGTGCAAAAAAATTTTTAAATTACTCTGCATGTATTTTTGTGACGTCCGGATAAGACAAATTACCTCGAAAATAATAATTTCGAAGCAATACAATTTGAGTTACGTTATATTGATTTTTTTAGTGTTGTAATAGAATCAATTTTTTGATATTCTGTTTATAATTAATCAATCTGAAATTTTGGGAAATATTCTTATGTACTTATTTTAGCTGAAATAATTTTGAAAATGAAATTTATTTTCTATAAAATTTATATACAATGAATATAATGATATTGTTGTACATTTTTTCAAATTTATAATTTGTCCACTTCGTACAAGTTATATTGTACTATGTTATACGGAAAAAAATTAAATATTTCAATTTAAATTTATTTAAATAATTAAGTATTTCAAAAAACATTAAAAAAAAATACATTATTAGGGTAATGGCTACTATCCAATTTTTATTTTCACCTTGTTTGGCAATAATAAAAGTTTACTGCCTATAACAACAATTATATCGTATAAAAGCGTTTGGTTATAATATTAAGTTTATTTTAAGCGTACAGAAATTAATTCGATTAATGACTTTTACATAGTTATAACTGTTTCTTTTGTTTAAATCAATTAAATGAAATAACATCGTAAACTATTATAACTATGTTACTTTCCACGAAAAGTTTTCTTTGTAATATAATCGAAAGAGTATTATGAATATATTTTGATCACAGGATACTACAATAAGCTCTATATCAGTATTTTAATTAATATTCATAATCCAATTATGCTTAACCACAAATTTATTGACGAGAACTTACAAGGGTAAAAATCATTTAAAATTGCTCATAATTTATCAAACTAAATTACATATTTTTAAAAACTATCGTAATGTATATTTATTTTAATGGCAGCGACTCTAAAACTATTAAGATTATTATTTAATCATTAACCATTCCAAAAAACAAAACTACAAATATTACTGCGAAATGATTATTGAAAGTTAACAGATCCGATAAGATTATATATATTTAGAATTATAACATTATTAAAAAGTCAACTTAACTTCTTTTGAGTACTAAGTCAGTACTCAGAAAAGTTTGTAATTTATGATAAGTTAAATTCGCCAATCACTAAAAAATCAAAAACGTCAACAAATTGTTTTGACTTAGTTTAAATGGTAATTTTAAAATTTGTTCAATAATTATTTACAATTAGTCAACACAACTTTGGCGACAGACGACTACAAGTATCAATTCGATAGTTCAAGAAGAACTTAAACCAATTAAAAGCTAAACCATTCGTGTTCCTTAGAAACAAACTATATCACTATTTACATTGCAAGTACACAACCTTACCGATTATTTTGGGTGCGTGTGTTATTGTTTTGAAGTCGCACGTGGACCTTGGGGAGTATGCGTATTTCGGTTGTGAGGTAACGTTTTGATGGTTCTGTTGCTGTCACCAAGCCGTCTCTTTTCGATCATTCGCCTTCGTAGTGTGACTAATTACTTGGTGCTGCCGGCGCGGCCGCGATACGTGGATGTGTATACGCGACAGTTCGGATCGGAGGATTAACTCTGTGTGGACGTATCTCTCTCCTGCTCGCACGTCATTCACACCTCTTGTCCCACCTATGTCGCTCTCCCTGTGCAAACGATAAAGTGTCCACAGACCGCTAACGCCGACCGATGTGACGGTGGTTTACGCGGACGCGGTAGCGCGCCCGCGCGTTCTCCCGTTTATCATCCACTATTGGCGACCAGCGGGTGAGTAGCCAGCGCGCGCTTCGCGCACAATCGATACCCGCTAAGCGCTTACATACTAGTGAGGATACAAGAATTACAAGGGGAGCTGTACACTCACCTGCGCTGCAACACTCTTCCAACACGGACCTACCTCAACAAACTTCGACGAACTAACATCTTGTCTGTTTTAAAAACTTGGATCTATTCCGAGACGGGTCGTTAAACCGTCACCGGAATCGTGTGCGTTCATTGAATGGGACCAGGACAGTTAATATTCCTTTACGTATTTATAGGTACCGGTAAAATAACTGAAGATCTTCCAATAGTATCGTTGTATAAACAAAAAAAAGAAAACAAAAAAAATACAATTTTAAAATATTTTTCCTTGTACATTATTATTACAATGAAAGGCACATGTTCACAAAAATCTTACACGCTATAAACCATTTTTCACATATTAAAGATATTTCTAAAATTTTAACATCATTATTATCAAACTTTGTTTCATTTTTTTGAAATTATTTCGTCCGAGATCAATATGGTTGTAAAAAAAAGCATACATAATAGCTTCAAAATATTATAGCTAACCAATACTTCAATTTTTTAATAATTATAGTTATTTGTTTAGCTGCTATATGCGAAAAATTATTTTTTTAACATCTCTTATATCTTAAACTAGAGGTTGGAACCTTTAAAAACCGAATCAAAACATTTTCTGACATAGAAAATAAAGAACCAAGACCTTAACCAGATCCCTTTAAAGAAACTAGAACCTTACCAAAAACCGTGTTTTTTTAATAGCTCTTAAAATCAGTTATAAACTATGTCACCATGTAAGTCAATAAGCCTTGCGCATTATCCTGCTAAAATATTAATTATATTGTTATCTAGATAATATTTGGTGATAGAAATCATAATAGCGTCCAATTAATAATCTATTCATAGTGTAATTAAATCTGTATATAGTGTTTAATTTTAAGAAATTGGTGGATTATTCAAAAACAAAATTCTAACTTAAAAAGAATTGAGGAAAAATTGCAAAAAAATGTTTACCACAGGCAATGATTTTTACTGAATCGTCAAACGTTCGTTGCATACGTTTTTTGATAAAATTGGCAATTTAAGCTAATTCAAATGTTAAAATTAATTTTTTTGGCTTAAAAGAAAAAAAATTGAAATAAACTTAATTTTATATTTTATGTCAATTAGTTTTATATAATATTCATGAAAATTAGTGTACTCCATTATAAGGTATATTAAAATAAATTAAAGTACAATACTGAGAATTTTAACACAAAAATATCATATTAATCATGTTCACTATATCTCGAAATTTTTTATTTTTGATAGTATTGTATATTATACCGTATAAGCATTATTTTAAGATTAAATAAAATGTAAACTTTCAAAAATTGAGTTGAAAAAGTTTAACTTGTATATAGAAACAGGTCAACGACGTACCAGATCTTTATAATCAGACAGCTATTCCAGAAAAGCTGGGAATACAATAAGGAACTCCATATTAGCTTTGTATATTTTCAAAATGCGTATGACAGTATAGATAGAACTAGCATAACCGAAATTTAGAAGCATTTCCATTTCCCAAGGAAAATAGTACATTTAATTGAAGCTAGTATAAAACAGACTAAAGTTAAAGTCAAAGTAGGAAACGTAACATCAAAGATAGTGGAGGTAAGAACCGGACTTAGATACCCTATTACCAATCCTTTTTAATTTAGTATTAGAGAAGGTGATCCGAGAAATGAATATTGAAAGAGATGAAGGAGTAAAAATGGATAGAACTTGCTTTAGTCTGCTCGCCAATGCAGACGACATAGTCCTGCTAGGGGAAGAGGAACAAAAAGTGGTAGACTTATGCGACAGGTTAATAGAATCGGCAAAAAAACTGGGGTTACATCTCAGCACGGAAAAAACGCAATACATGAAAATTAGTAGGGAACGAGGTAACGTCCCTATAACTGAAACCATAACAGTGGGTCAATACGAGTTTAAAAAAGTGGAGGAATTCAAATACCTGGGAACTATTTTTACACAAAAGAATGAATGTCAAATAGAAATTCAATAAAAAATTAAAATGGGAAATAAATGCTTCTATGCACTAGGCAAACTTTTAAGCTCTAAAATCCTTTCAAAAGAGGTCAAAACTCAGCTGTATCTGACAATCATACGACCAATAATCACGTATGGTTTACAATGTTGGACGTTACGAAAGACGGAGGAGGATAGATTACATATTTTTGAGAGGAGGGTACTCCGCAAAATATACAGACCCGTATATGATCAAGATTTTCAAGGGTGGAGAAAGAGACAAAACCAAGAACTGATGGAGATATTCAACAGACTAAGTATTTGTAACGAGATTAAACGTAGTAAGTTGGAATAGGCAGGGCACGTATGTAGAAAGCAAGATTCAATGGTTCAAATAGTGCTCCAAGAAAACCCAAGGAGCAAAAAACCACTGGGTTGACCAAGGCTACGCTGGGAAGATGGAATCAAAAATGATTTCCTAAATGCTAGAGGAGGGGATTATGGAGGCATGGATTGGAAGGAGGCAGCGGAAAATAGAGAAGAATGGGGGAGGATTTGTTCTACGGCAAGATAGTTTCAAAGGCCATAAAAAAAAATAAAATAAAAATTGTTATTTTGAATCCCCCTGAGGTCGCGTCAAAAGTCAGATTTTCAAAAAAATTATATCAAATAAAAGAGAAATATCTATGATTTCAATATAAAAAATAATTTTTTTGATTTGTTCATTTTTCAATAAGTCATGGCAATTTTTAGAAAAAAAAGTTGAAAAATGTCCAAATTTACCGATTTTAAAAATAGTAATTTTTAGGGAGATTTTTATTATTTACGAGGGAATGAGGGCAAAGTTTTTAATTTTTGAGAGAAATGTCTTCAACTAAATACGATTTGTGATCTTTTGATGTATCGTTGAGAAAAATTGGTCCAGTGAGAGCTGAAAAAAAGTAGTGACAGACACAACAAAAAAAATTAATAAATAAATAAACACATCATGATAAAATTAATACCTTCTCAGCTTCGCATCAAAGCTAATAAAATAACATTTTTTTTTTTTAATAAATTTTTCTATTAGTTAATTATAAATATTTGTATATTAATATAATGAAAAATTTTCTAGGCATCAAGCATTTATGAACTTTATTAGTATAACGCCAAAATATAGATTGATAAAGAACTTTAAAATACGAAAAATTTTTAACTGTTCACTAGTAAAGCCACCCTCTTTAAAGTTAAATTAAAAGCTAACTTATGTACATTTTTTAGCTCAGTCAAGTTAAAATTAACATTGTTGTAATAAAACTAACCTTTATACTTTATTTAGTATAAATAAGGTAACTAGTTAAAGTAAAAGTTAAATATTCCAAAAAAGCAATGAGTAGCTAACTTAATTTAAACTTTTTAACACGTTAATGCATTTCCTTGCACAATTTATATACTTAGAAACTCTTAACATTTTAGTTAATTTATAATTTTTGTTTAAATAATTTTACACCCCTATAAGATTTTATAAACTTTAGGCTACGAATAACAATGTTTATATAATTAATAAAATTTATTAATAATTTAAAAAATTTTATTTTATGAATTTCATATTAATACTATAGAATGATTCCAAAGTCTTCATTCGATCACAAATGAATGTAACTCGTATAAAACTAGAAAGATAAGTTTGTCAAATTTATAACCGTTTGATTAAAAAACCCTACCTATTTTCACCTATATTGAGTACTTCAACAAGGAAATATTTTTACAAAAATTACAAAATCATCCTGCAAATCCTGCAAATAATATTTTATTGTTATAATTATAAATAATATAGCTATTATTAATATCACTATTATTATTTTGTTGCTGAGGAATATAATAAGTAGTCTTAAATTTAATATACAAAAAATCAAAAATATATTTAATTTAATCGCATGATCTGTATAATTTAACATATAAATGTTCCAATACGTTTTTTGTAAAATGTATAGCTATTTTCGAAAATTTGTGTTAAGTATTTTGTATAGTTTTATTGCCTACAATATGTTGTCGTTATTGCTTTATGTAATTATTTATATATCGAACAGTTTATTGCTGTCAATTTTTGTCACGGTAATATTTTGGGATCGTCTTTTAAAGGCCGAATTTAAAAGTCGAAAAAAGGTAAATATAAACTATCACTAGTGTACCTATTATTTATGTTAAAGTAGATAAACTATATCAAATTTTAAACCGGAAAAAACTATTGTAATTTTTGTTATGAAAAAACTACTAGTTTAATTTGTGTGTATCTGAATAAGAAATTTAGAATTTGTCCACTAATATATTTACAACACATAATTATAAATTATATATTTTTTTGTTTTTATTGCTTTTTACGGTCCATTGAAGGTGATTACGGCCTCCCCCTAAGAAGAAGTTTTTTAACCATGTATATTACAAGATGTGTGGCTGTCCATCTCCAGAGAGGGATGACAACTCCAATCACTAAACTAATGACTTGTTCAGCAAACAGCTGTTCGTGACCAAATCTTGAACCCGAAACATTGCGCATCAGGCACAGCCGCGTTACATTTATTATATTAATATGTAATATATATAATTTCTTAATAGTATCTAATTTTTAGGTAAGATATTTATACATGAGAAGAAGCAAATTTTAAACTATACGTTTTTTTTTTTATAATTTTGTTCAAATAATACTTGACTCGTTTTTCTGACCTAATGTAAACAATTTTATATAATCAAAATGTAATACTTCCAGTGGCGGATTTTAAACATTTTTCTGGGGGATCCTAAAGAATAAAATATACTTGGAATACATATAAGAGTCTTACACTGCATTATAAATAATGTAAAAATATTAATGTCTAGTGGGTCAGGGGTTCTGGTACACCCCTGTGGATCCCTACTGATTACTTCAAAACCAGAAGTCAATCATATTTGTATTTAGTTCATATCAAATGTAATTGTAAACAGACAATTACAACTTTCAAAATTTACTTCTCAGAAATATCTTGATAATAAATTTTTTCTACAAAAAAATATGGTAATGGCCTATGGTAATAAATTACTTTAAATAAAGTAGTATATTGTAATATTACAGAATGAGGATTTAGTAAATGTCAAAAAAAACAAAAGTGCACAATATAGTAGTCCAATAGATCATTTAATGTGGCTTTTAGAAAAATTTAATAATGATAGAAAGATTTATATTGAACAAATAACTGAACTTGAAAATGTTGTAGAACAATTGAAATATATAGGAAGTGACGTATTCGATAAAACTACTGAAATTCAAAAAGATTTTGAACGCCATTTTATTATTCATTACAAACATAGAGAAATTCTCCTTGGTAAAATAATTGATCTAGAAAAGAACTGCGCTCGTTTGCATAACGAAAATGATATTTTTGAAAAAAACTCGTAGTACGTTAAACGAATTAAAAAGTATTTTGGCAAAATTCAACAAGGAGAAAGAAAAAAACGATGAAAAAATTACCTTACTTCAAAATTTTAATAAAACGTTAGAAGATCATTTAAATTTTATACATCAAAAATTCCTTCTATCTTGTAAAACAGTCTCAGAGTTTTGTTTTAATAATGTTAATGTTTTGCCAAAAAATCTTAAAAAACAAATAGAACAAATTCAATTAATCTTGAACGATGAGATGTCAAATGATAACATGTCACTATATTATTAATTTTTTTAAAGTAAGTTGTATGCAAATTAATTAACTTTAATTTTTAGTTTAGTCTGAAAAAATGCATTATCAGTGATAACGCATGTTTAATCGGAATCGCAATTGTTTAAAATGTTTGGTGTGAAAATATATTTTCAATAAACAAAACATTATCTGAAGAAAATTACTCAACGCACAAGGATGGATTTTCAATACTAATTCACTAAAAATATTTATTTCCAACTTATTATAACGAATTATAAGTTACATTTCAGTTAATAAATAATTATTAATATAAACATTTGTTCAGAAACAAATTTTAGTTATTTTTTTTTTAAGTATAAAATAAAATAAAAAATGTATAAATAATTTTAAAAAATGAATATCTCTTAACTGATAAATGACTAGTAATGTCTATTTGAAAAACGTCTATAATGTAGAGTAAAACTATTCATAATATTTTATTTATGAATAGTATAAATTGTTGAATTCAGAAAGTGGTCATGTTCAAATCTCAGTAAATTAATTTTTTCGTGCTTTTGGTTCCTAACAAATTAAATAATATTAGTTGTTAAAAAAGTACGTTGTTTTTATAAAAATAAATTTAAATTAAATATTTGTTGAGTGCAAAAAAAAAATTATGTTAAGGTCATTGTAAATTTATTTTTTGTAATCTCCACTATTTGAACTGGTATATAAATATCGGCATCAGATAGACTCTCTGGATCTTCTTCATAACTTTTTCATTGGCATATTACACAACTAAACATTTTTTGCAATACTCCACGTGTTTATTAATTTATTTAACTCGCTATTTTTATCATATATTTTAATTCATTATTCTTTACAAAATCAATTAGGGATTAGTTTCTATTGTATTAAGATATTTCACTTCCTCTTTAGCTTAAGCAATAGTTTTTAAGAAAAGACATAAAAATAAATAAATCTTCTTCTTTTTCTTCGTCTTAAACCTAGCTACTTGAGATTGGCCACCCTTATCCTAACTTTCACTTAACACGATCTCCCACATCATTTATGCTTACATCAGCCGTCCTCATACTGCATTTAATAACATTCCTCCGTCTCTTTTTTAAGTCTTCCTCTACCCCTTTTTTTTCATTCAACATTCATTTCTATAACTGTACAACTTCCGATTTCTTTCTCCTTTTAACATGACCAAACCGTCTAAGTCTAAGTATTTTTTCTCATCTTATCCATGATTGACACTTATACTAACTCTTATATGTTCGTTCCTTATTCTATATTCTCTAGTCACACCACTCATCCATCTAAACATTCAGAATCTCAGCAGAAGTTGATCTCCACACCTCTAGCCTTTCATTAATTATCTCTTATTAAAACTATATCGTTAGCAAACAACATGCACCACGGCACCTCTCCTTGTATTTCTCTAGTAATTTCATCCATCACTATAGAGAATAAGTAAGGGCTTAAAGCAGAACCTTGGTGCACTCCTACTTTTACCCTAAATCATTCTGTTAGTCTTCATACGCTTTTTACCCTGGTACAAGTGTAATCATTCATATCCTCTATTATAATAATATATCAAAAAATAAATAAGTATAATAATAATAATAATCATCATCAATGGCCAGATTTACCATACTTTATAATAAAAATAATAATTGTGTTATTACATGTTTATCAGAAATTTTGTTGAAAATAATGTGACATGATAAATTTAAAAAAAAAATTTTTGTCAAATCATTAAATAGCAAGAAGTCATACTAGGTATTAAATTACTTTTAAAATTATTTTACAGGTAAAATGTGGCATTTCCACCAAAATTATTACTTGCTCAATAATTAAACTCAAACATTTGTTTTGACCAAGTCTCTCCAAAACTTATTATTTTTTTTTCTTCGATTTAAAAAAGTTATAAATTTTAAAAAATTGTATCAATTATAATAATGAATATGAAAGCCTCTGTGATATTATTGAGATATATATTACACTAGGATATTTATAATGATAGCAAATCCAGGTAGTTTTATCTTAATGAAAGTTATTTACAAAAAATATTATGTCAATTCGTCAATTATAAAACCAATTACACCAACAGATGTTAATATAAAAACAAAATTAATGTTTAAATTAAATTACTATAATACACAAGAAATTTATAATACACGATGATGTCTAATTGATGGTAAAAACATATTTTAATATAATAATGTGATTATTATATTGAATACATAGAAATTAAATACTAAATTGACGCCTTAGCCATTTCTAAACATTTTCATAAATTATACCATAAATAGAAACGGGACATAAATTATTTTATTTCAAGGATTTTGAATCTGACAAGATAAAAACTAATTATTTATGAAATAAACTAAATAGGTAATTGTATATTTAAATCAATGTCAAAATCATGAACAGCATAGAGGTCATCACATTTCAATGTAGTACCAAGTACTCCTTTTGAACTACCATCATTATTCTAAAAAATAAAAAATGTTTTTAACTTAGAAAAATAACTTGTATTATAAAAATAAAATGAAGTAACTCTAAGCATAACTAACCTTGTTTTCAATGGATTTATCATTTTTATTTGAACCATCCACCTCTGAAATAGCTTCATCAGTTCCTGGTGAATTTGCTTTAGCTCTAAATTTCATACAAGGTTTTGTACTTCTTCTAGTAAATGGATCATCAATTTTTTTTCCTTTGTTAGCCTTAAGTTCTTCCTAAAAAATTTTTTTTAATAACAAAAGAAAATGATATTAATAGACACCATGCAGCAGACTGAAAAGAGAGTGCTCTGGCGAACAATAAATTAAATAGTGTCGGAGCCAATTATATGTGACAGTTTATAGTGATATTTTACAAAAACATCTATAGCTCAAATATAAAAACTGTCTAATTAAAAAAATGTAAATGAAAAATAGTTTTCAAAATAAAACCACAAATATAATAAACTACTTAAATTCTAACTTTTATAAAAAGTTTTTTTTTAGTCTATTTTTTTTTTTATTCTAAACAAAATGTTTGACATACAAAAATTTGAAAAACCATTAATTTTTAGAAAATATTTGTATAATATGCACATATATTTGTAAAGTCATTATTTACCAGAGCCTTCTCTTTTCAGTCCGGTGCAAGGTGTCTATAAAATGTCACTACACCAATTAAGTTAATTGACTATTGTAGTACAATACTAATAAGAGACCTGGTTCTATCATAAATTGGTACAAACAAGTATGTCTTAAGTATATAATAAAAATAATAACCAACACTGATATATAATCAATATAAAGTCATGCTTGTTTATTACACTAGTTTTAAGTCACAATAATTCACTTATACACAAGTATTTTAATGAGTTAGTTAATTACACACAATGGCATAAAGTTCTCAAGATGTAGTTTTTCTGTTGGAAGAAAACAAAGAAAGAATTTCACTCTCATACTTTTATAGTAAGGTTGTAACCGGAGTGAGTTAAAAGTAAAATTTAATACAGTAAAGTGACTAACAGTTGACAACCCATTTGATACTTGATGGACAGACATTGTACTCCCTTCCAAAGTATCTTTGCTCAAAGATACTTAATAGTTAAACGGCTGATAAAGAAAACCTCAATTGAATGCTTGTTTAATACAGTGCATGATACCGTATCAAAACTACAATACATATAATTCATATTTTAAATAATAGCAAATTACTCAAAAATGTATACTTTTCCAAGTATGCTATAATTTTAGCAGATGTTTTCTTTTAAATGAGAGTAGGTATTCAACTAAAATAACTGAATATTTTATATTACTTACCAAAATTGCTTTCTCTGCTTCTTCTACATTACGTTTACGGTTTCTATCATTTATGTAACTAATGCTTGATATAGTACTTGTCCTCATCTTATCTAAATGATTAGCACGTTCTTCTAATTCAGATAGTTCCTGTTCTATTCTTAATACATCTTCAACTTTTCCTCTAAAATTTATTAAATTAACTTCAATAAATTCAATAACACTTAACATGCATAAAAACATTACATTTAACTTTTTAACATACATCAGGCCTTTTAATCTATTTTATTTTATCATATATCTTCAATCGATTGAATAATTAATTTTATTGAATTTAGATTTCTTAAGTATTAAATACTGATTTTTTGAAATACAAGGTAATGTGCTAACTATATATCACACATTACTTTCAAAAGTATAAAATAAAGTATAACTTTTTTTTCAGATGTTATTAGTATCCTATTTACTTTTTTTAACACAAAAAAGTATAGTTCTATCCTCTTAAAATTGCATCAACTTAACTTTAAGCCAGCTAAAAAAAGGAAAAGAAAAAGGCATAGGACTATATTTCTTTATGTTAATTAAAATGTGTCTGAAAATAATAACTATTGAAAAGCAAAAATTATACTTTTAAAGATTATACGTGAAACATAGTATTTGAATCACAGAATTTATGATTCTATTACAAAATATTTATTTTTTTTATTTACTTATAGTATATTAGTATTTTTATATATATAAAAGTTTGACCTAAGTAAAATAAACATGGCAATTTTTATTCTTTTTTAATTTTAATAATAATTTCAAAAAACTGAGTACTCATTATAAAGTCAATTAAATGAATGCTAATAAAATGTGTTTTATATTCATTCTGAAAACAAATTTGCACCAAAACATATTTATAGTACATTAATTTTTAGTTTCAGTAGAATTTTTCTTTAATTAAAGTTTAAAAAAGAAATCTTACAATGCTTGAGCGTCATCACGTTCTTTCATTAATGATGTCTTTTTCATTGCATAATTATGAATATTTGTTTTGAATCTTCCTTTTTCTCGAACAATCTAAAATAAAAAATTAATAATAAAAAATACATTAATAATATAAACTCCAAAAATGTGTTACAGCTTTCATCAATTTTTACCAAGAATATTTTCAGATACCAACTCATATATACATATAGCATAAAAAAATACTATATATTACATTATAATATATGTAGATAAATTTATTTTCAGAAATAATTTATGAAACAAAATTTACACAGTATATTATTTTACATTTTTTGAAACTTTTAATTTTGAATGATAATAGTTTTTATATCATTTAAAAGTTTGTTAGAATTTAAATTATACATTCACACTATATAATTATATAAGGATAGCATAGCTACAATTATTCATTAATAATTCTTACTCTGAAAATAGACTTTACATTGAATTCCAAATGTTATTACACAAATTCAGATATTTATGTAACTAAAAATATTTATAATAAATATTGCAATAAATCAATAAAAATTACTTTTTCCACGTCTTCTTCTTTAAACTGATATGCCAAAGCTGCTTTGATATCTTTGACTTTTTTCTCAATATCATCAATAGTTGGTAAAGATATTCTATTTAACTGACATAATTCTTTCCATTTAGAGAATTCACTTTCTGTAAACTCTTGATTACTTATAAATTCTAAACGGAATACTTTTTCGTTAGTACCATGCCTAAAAAATGGTTTATTATTATTTTTTATCTACATATGAAGTAAGAAAAACAGTATCTAAAATCCATTTATAAATTTAAACAAATAGTGCTATGGAAAAAATTAATTCAACTGAGTTTATTATTGTACCAGTAAGATGAGAGTTTGTTGAGGTCGAATATATTTGTACTTTAAAAATTATCTTTATAACAGTGAAAACTTCAAACGATGGTACAGAAAAATAATTAAAATGACAAATAAATTAATAATAGCATTAATTTTACCCTTATATAATAACTATACATAATCAAAATATAATTTCAAAGAAAACGATTTTACCTCAATTTTAAACCTTTATTAGTTCGTGTGCTTCCCAACTGATAAACTTTAGCAGTTTCACAAACATCACAAATTTCAGCAACCTTCAAAGTAATATAAAATTTTTATCACTAATAATAATTACATAAAGAAAAAATTTTACCCTATAAACTGGTACTCCGTTATAATTTCCAATTCCAATACGAACAAAACAACCAATCACAGTATTTTTAAAAGTAGGTAAATGTACGAATCTATTAAAAAAAATGTTTTAATAATATCATGTTATCAGATTTTTGTATGCTTACTTTTCCATTTTGAACCTAGATAATCTAATCTTATTAAGTTCTTCTTGCTTAGTAATATACTGAACATTTTTTTCACTGTAACAAAAAATACAACTATACTGATTAAAGTTAATTTAAGAACATAAGGAATATCTATACTCATTTTTAAATTAATAATATTAATTAGATAATATAATATAATTAATTCAAATTAATTTCATATATAAATTAATACTTATAACAAATAGTTCATACAAAATTTGAATAACATAAAATGTATAAAATTGTTAAAAATGTTATAAAATATAAAAGTGTTCAATAAATTGGAAATTTCAATGTTTGTAAGAGTCAAATTCTACCCATATAAGATAAGAGTTTATTTTACCTTTAATTCTATAAGTTGTGTTCAATTTTCCAATCTAACTTAAATAAAAATTTATTTTAAGAAACTAATAGAAGCTCTCAAAATTGATTTTTAATCAAAATAAGTAAACTCAAACTTATTAAACAAACAGTAAAATATAGTTTAAGTATACATATAAAATAAATATCTTATAACATCTTTATTTTTTTATTTAACCCTAAAATAAAAAACAAATATAAATGTTTTTTTTTAATTATGATAGGATTATGTATAAAAATTTTTTACTTTGTATCAGAATCACTATCTCTAAAGTTTCGATTCTTTTTAACAGATTCACTAGAATCAGAATCACTCGATGATGCACTATCATCAGAATAAATATCAGAAGCTTTTAATTTTGTTCTATTTTGATCAGCTTGTTTATCACTTGTTTCTTCGTCTTCATCATCTCCCTTCTTATCTTTTTCTTTTTTTTGCTGTTTTTCTTTTTCTTCTTCTACAAAATTTACAGATTTTTTAATGAAAATTTTGTATTTATAATGATATCATACATAATTATATACTAAAACCAATTTAATTAAGAAAATAAATAGTTGATAACTACTTTTGAATTTTGATTTCAAAATATATGAGTATTTTTATTACTGGGAGGAGGGAGCGATGATCAGTAATGCTTGATGAGAAAAAAATAATTTGTGCTTACCTAGTCACCCTTAATCTATATTTTTATGTAAGTGTTAATAACTTTCAAAAAACTGATTCAAAAGTATTCATTTATAAATTTAGAAAGTTTTCTAATATTTAAACCAGAAAAATATACATAAAATGTTTCAATGTATATTAGGGTGGACTTTAAAACTCAATATGAGAAATGTTAAAATTTTAATGCATAAATTTGTTCATATATAGGTTGAGGTTATACGTTCAAAGTTTCAAGTAAATAGTTAAAGTCCGAAATTTTTTTTTTCCATAATAAAGTACATTACATTACATTAGCTTTAATTTAAGATATATATAAAAGTGTCAGACCTTCCGGAACATTTTCAAAAGTTGAAAAAGTTAATTTTTTGTGAAAAAGTTGTCTTTTTAAATTCCCCCTGTGGGCAGATAAAGGGTCAGATTTACAAAAAAAATATTTCAAATGATAGGTAAAGACATCAAGCATCTATAAAACAAAAATTATATTGATATGTTCATTTTTGAAAAAGTTACGGCACATTTTAGTAAAAAAAATTTCGAAAATTTCGAAAATTAGCAATTTTTAAATTTGTAATTTTTTTGGAGGTTTCGCCCATTTACAGGGAACGAGGGAATTTTTTTCAATTTTTAAGGGTAATGTCTTCGACTAGATACGATTTGTGATATTTTGACGTATCTTTGAAAGATATCCGTTCGATCCGTTGTAATCATATTACAAATATTTTATTGGTTGGGATATTTATATTATTTCATAAAATATTTTTGATTAACTATACTTATTCCTATTTTTTTATATAGATATTTGAATATAAAAAAAGGTATTTAGCTATACGTTTCTAATTAATTTATCAACTTCAGTATTAAGCAACATCTTTTAACAAAACTTATATATTATTAATACATATACTTGCAACTATTGCTCAATGAGTTTCTAATTACTTTATTAACTGATGAGTTTACAAAGATATACTTCAAATAATTGTTTTTGGTAAATAGACTATCTACAACTTTTATATGAAACATTATTGTTTAACTCAAATAATTCATCTAGAATAAAAAAATTAATCAAATACTTCGATTTTGATGACAAACCTAAAAATGTGTGTTAAATCCTATTTTTACAGTTAAATATTAGATTTCTGACTTTTTTATAAGAATAACTTTTACAGAAATAACAACATAAATAAATGCATTAATACATAAATACTCATATATTTTTTGATATTTATATAGTTTTTGAGATAAATAGAAAAAATAAAAAAACTACCCTCCTTGTCAAAATTTTAACCTCACTTGCAGTAAGGGTTAACTTTAACCTATTCTATTTGAAACTTTGCACGTATGACAACCTATATTTGAACAAATTTAAGAATTATAATTTTAAAAGATTAACTTTTTATTTTGCCTTATAAATAAAGACCACATTAATGTTAAATTGAAAGATATATATTTGACACCCTTAACATAAGAATTGAATTCAAAAAGTCATTTGTAATTTATAAATAGGAGAAACTCATTAATGTGACAGTGTATGGTAACCATAGAAGGCAAACTATCAAAAATTCTGAACTACCAAAGATTTAAGACTATTATGACTAATAGAATATGTTACCTACTTCATTTGACACAAAAATATAACTTTAGTTTAGCATAAATAAGAGTAAAACATTTTTTGGGAGAAGAGTACAAATCCCATGGATTCCAGGATGCATCTTGTATATTTGACTATCAAAAGTGCTGGATAACAGTGTGTACTGTAACTATTGAAAAATGGGATTATGGAAATTTGTCGATTTAAAAAAATATATGTAGTGTAAAAATCCAAAAAATTCTAAAAATATTTTTAAATTATATAGTAGTAATTTATGATATAACAATCAACCTATAAATACTATCAAAACTTAAGTTAATCTATTCTAAACATTATCAGATATTTGAAAAAGTTTTTATGTTATAAATAAAGTTATAACTATCAAATAATAAATATTTATATGTATATTAGAGATATATTTGTTAGTTAATAAAAAAAATTATAAATATAATGAATGAACATAATATGTACATTCACTGTATTATATAGAATGTCCTACTGTGATTTACTAATTTGACTATATAAACTAATATTAAAATTAGAAAATCTTGGTGAGATACCTATATATACTATACATATTCATTATATTATAGTTACATGCTGAATAATGAAATTCTTACAAACCAATTCAAGTAAAACTCTAGTCATAAAAAAAAGGTAAGGTCACTCAGTTTTTAGTTTTAAATAATTGGAATACCTCTTATAGATAATAAAACTAAGGTATGATCTAATAAATTTAAAAATTAAGAATATTAATGAAAATTTACCTCTTTCTTTTTTTTCTTCTCTTCTAGCTTTCAATAAACTCATTGCAGCTTTTTTATCACCTTTTCCTTTATTTTCTTCGACATTTTTTTTTCTTTCTTTGACTCTATCTTTAAGATCAAGAGGTATTGAATTAGGTTGATATGAACTTTCAGATTTATTAGAAGAAGTACTTCTATTTTCCGTTGATTTTTGTTCTTTGTATTCTTTTTTTTTTGCACGTTTCAGCTTTTTTTCAATTTCAAATCTAAAATAATTAAAAATTAATACAATTAACTCAATCAGACCAACTAAAACTGCTGTACCTTGTTTTCATAATTTCTCTAGCTTCAATACGTTTAAAAATTTCAGTTTCTCTTTCTTTTTCTGTCATTTGGGCAAGACGTTCTCGGTCTTCTTCATCGCCCATCAGTTCATCATCATACCCATCATTAAACTCTTCTTCAGAATCCGAAGAATCACTAACTAAACATTATGAAAAAGAACCAAAATTAATTTTTGATGAGTTGGAAATTGAAGTAGAAAATGATAGCATTAAATTTGAATACCAACATTTCTGTCCAATATCTTGTAGCTTAACTTTGATATCAGAATCATTACTACTTTCATTAGAATCATCAGTTTCATATAATTTACTAGAACGTTTTTTAGATTTAAATTTTTTTTGAGGTTTTTCATCAACTATTTCTCCTTCAGATAAAGATGATTCATCAGAATCATAAATTTGCTTTTTAGACTTTCTTTTTGATTTTTTTTTATGACTACGACTCGATGAAGGAGAAATTTTGGAACGTTTTTTCTTCTTTGCAATACTTATATCCTAGATTTATATAAGAACAAAAATCTTAATGAATAATTACTCTTACCCAATAAAATTTAAATAAAAATCACTTACATCATCACTGAATTCAGAAGATTCATCAGAACTAAGAGAATTCTTATGTTTTCCCATTATAAATATATAGTAAAAATTCTACAAAATTTTCTAAATATTCTTTTGTATAAAATAAAATAAAAGGCTAATATATCATAAAAACAATGGACTAAAAATGTTCAATTTTCAATGATTTCAAGCGACTTAGAATTGAAGTAAATAAGTTATCAGTTTCTACACTTCATCTTAAATTAATGAATTAAAATAATAATGGTAATCGATTTTACATAAAACAAATTACTATTGAAGTTAATTCAAAACACAAATTATGAATGAAAAACGTTTTCAATAAAACTCGTAACTAAGAAGATATCCTAAATATAATAGTATGGTTTTGTAGAATGGGTAAACTGTGTAGATACTAAAATCTAATCATATAGAATGATATAAACATAAATATTATGAGTTAACATGAATAACCGTTGTTACAGAATGATCATTGATTATACATGGTGTAATCTGTAGGGAAATCATACAGATCATAAAAAAATATTGTCAACACTGTAAATTACAAACGAAAATTGGTACAGAATCGTATCAAAATGGTTGGCAATCACGATTTTCAATACTCAACCATAGAGTAATTGATCTATGTACTAAAACCACAGATAAAATATGAGGATTTCAATAGTAACACTTAGGTATTGGTTGGGCATTAAAAACTAACGTATTTGTCATGCAGACTGATCAGATAATGATAACCTCCTCAATAGTTTAATAAAATAAAAATAATTTTGTGAATATTTTTTTATCATATATTTCTTGATTTATTCCTTAAACTTCCATAGGGGTGTCAACTTAATTTTGCTTAATAGCAACATACATATTTAACTAGCTTATAAAATATAAAATTATTTAATTACTGGTTAATAACAATTTTTGGACCAGACCTTCGAAAGTTAACATTTTTATATCTATGTGGAAGGAGGAAGCGGCAGAGAAATGTCTAATAATAAAAATAGTCATACTTGCGTTACTTAACAATATTTTAAAATGCCAATAAATTCCAAAATGCTATTTTAAAAGTTGTTGTCGACCAGTTATTTTGATAATTAGATCATTTTCTATTTTATAAGCTAGTTAAATAATATTTAACTACATGTCTCAAGGTCAATTATTTAATTTTTCAACAAGAACTTAGAGTAAAAAAGGACCGAGTTCTAAGAAATTACTAAACTTTAAGGGCTACATTTTTTTAATAACTTTTTTTTTATTTTGTTCATCAACATTTGATGATAAGCGATGCAGATGAAGAATTTATAATGAGAAAAAAAATGTTGTGGGGAGTAGCAACACATTAGCACCAGTCATCAAATTTCTAAACATGTCTCTAAAGATACTAAATCTTAATCTATGTTTCAAATTTCAAAAGCCTTTCTCAAGAGAAAATATAGATACAAGAGTTAGAAAACTCTGACGAATTGAATAACGTAAAGACACACCAATTTTGTTAGACTTATATAAATTAGTAGGTATCGATATGTGTTCGATTCGATACATAGTAAAGGTATCAGAAAAATGTGTGTGAAGTTAGTCTTTCAATGTGACGTCCCTATTTATATGTCTAAAATTGATATTGTGCTATTATCATTATTGATAACATATTTATTTTTAACAGAAATTATTTTAATGTGAATTTTTCATGTGAATCATTTTCATATTGATTATTTTTAAATGGCATCTATGATTAGTATTTTATAACTTTTTAGTGAAGCATACAATATATTTAAATAATTGACTATTTTTATCAATGAAAGTTTGTTGCTTTCGAGTATTTGTTAAAGAAGTACTGTGGGACTGTATATTTATAGTAAAACATATACAGAACTATGATTTCTTTACAACTGTCTATGATGTACCGTTCAGAGTCTCAGCAGAACTGCAATCATTACAGTTTCCTTCAAACGAAATTGATCCATTATTAATGAATGGTAACTGTTTAGAACAAGTAATCAAAATAATGGAACAAAGTGCATACTTTAGAAAATTATTAGTAAGAAAAATGAATACAATTACGTCAGTGGATAATAACAACATCACAATTAGTGTGCAAGACATTAATCTTGTTGAACCAAAAAAATATAGATTACCATACACATGGTAAATTAAAAAAAATGTTAATAAAATAATTTTACTTCAAAATGTTGTTAGAGGACTGTGTTTTCTTATTAAGAAATTAACAGTGTTATACTATGTTCCATTTCTGAAACTTAGTTATTATTAACAAAGTTTATTCAATGAAAAATTATACATATATCATGACTACTATTCCTATCCCTAGTTATAAATGTAAGAAATTTCCTATAACTTAAAAATAGTGAATATAAATCATATTTTTAAACTACTCCTATCATTTTTAAAATTTTAGACAAATATCTTCAAATAGTTTAAAAAAGAATACTTAAAGGCCAAACTGATAATTTTTAAAAATTGATCTGAGTACATTGATATGTTGAAAAATATGTCTTTAAATTTTACAGTTTATTTAACTATGACTCGCACTTTAAGTATAAAACATGTATATTTTCTTCTCAAAAGTTAATAATACATTCTATAATTTTCAAAAGGAATTTGGTCCTATCCCTCCTTTCACCTTAAAATTGTTTCAACTTTTGTTTATTAAAAGGAAACATATATATTTAACCAGCTTACTAATAAAAAAGTAAATAGTCATTCACAACTTATGAACTAGTATTTTGAAAGTTATTAATACTTTAATATAAAGACTAATAGGTGATGCATGGGTATTCTTATTTTTATCTCTTAGAATTTATGAACTGCTCTAATCTTTCTGCCCTGGTAGGAAATTCTAATATCTTTTAAAATACTGGTTTAAAATTTGTTATTGACCAGCCATTTCCTTAATGAGATCATTATTGTATTTATTAGCAGGTTAATCATATAAGTTTCTTAGAAACTTATTGTTTTTATTTTTTATAGAAACTGTTTCTATAAAAAATAAAAACAAAATTTTAAGAGAAAAGGAGGAGGATCAGACTAAATTTTTATTTTTTAAATCATGAAACATAGGATATTATTAACATATGGAGAGAAAAAATTATAATATATTTTATACTTTTAAAAATATTGCAAAAATCATAGTTAAACAATTACTATGGATAACTCAATAAAATATTATTTTATTGTCTATTTGACCTTTTGTTCTTTGAATACTTTACTTACTATAGTGAAATTTTTTTTAATATATGGGCAAGGTTAGTAAAAAATTTTTATGATTTCATTACTATTTTTTACAGGTGTAATATTTATGAAAAAACTGATTTAGAGTATAGAGAACTAGAAAATATAATGGCATGGCTGTCAACTCTTGGAGGAGCATTTTCATCATTAGGCGATCAAACTGAACATTGTGTATGTATATATATTTTATATCTAATTAAGAAAAAAACTAATTGATAATAACTTTTGAACAAATACTTTGGAAGTTATTAGAATTTTAAAATATAGACTGCAGGTGAAGTGTAGATGGTATTATTTTTAACATAAGTCACTTCTTGGGCTGTAATATATGCACACCTATATATTTTCAAAGAGTCCTGTCTCTCTGGCAAAATTAAGTATCTCTTTGAATTTTATGTTTTTGAAATCCTCTTTTTCGATATTATATTTTTCCGAATGTTTAGATTTTATTGTGGCTATGATATTACATTCACACATAATGTGAAATGAATATTTCTCTTCTGTTTCATACTTCCTTTGCAGTAGTGATTCTACCATTGTGTAAAGATGTTTAGGCAAAATGACCGTGTTTTAAGTAGTCCAGTCAGAGTGCTATTTGATATGTAATGATGTTATTAAAATCCTTTAGTAGAAGTCTTGATAAACATTTGAATGCCTGGGTACCACAAGGATAACTACATATTTCCCTGTGTTATTCTCTACACCAGTTTTTGGGTAGCACTTTGAGGGATTACTATTACTGGTTTTGGTCCAACATAGGTGTTTTCTGTACCTTTCCTCACTAAGAAGTCTGCTTTTTCATTACCAGTCACACCGCTGTGTCCTGGTACCCATACTAGTGTTACTTTATTAAATTTTGCCAGTGATTCTGAAGTTTCCTATCATTTAAGGACTAGCCTTGAAGTCGCCTGGTTATTACTAAGTACCTTCAGAGTAGCTTGACTATTGCTTAGGATAGTTATGTTCCATTCCTTGAATACTAGCAAGTCCTGGGCTCCTACTAGTATTGCCATTACCTCTGCTTGAAACATAGAGAGTGTTGTGTCCATTGACATGCTGATATTTATATCCTCAAATACCAACACCTACCTATCCTGATTTCTTGGAGCCGCCTGTATAAATTACACACCCTGTTTTCCTAGTCATGTGGTTTATATTCCATTCCCTACATTTTAAGATCTCAATTTTATAGGTTTGATACTATTTGAAGGATATCCCAGTATACTCTGGTCTATCTCTTCAGTATTTTACTATGTTCTACAATATCACTATCCATAGCCCACATACCTAGTGTTCTGTTCCAACAGACCAAGGCACCATACAAAACTATAGGTTTAATCACTGAAGTTTATAGCCAATACATAACTCATAGTTTAAGGCCTCAGGTCCTAATCACACTTAGCCATTCAGGCTGAGTGTGCCAAGACTGTCAAATCCTGTTCTTCTCCAGGTAAACATTAATACCTTTGTTTGGATTAACAGCTAAGCTATACTTACTGCAACACATGTGTATAATGTTCAGTTTCTGCTGTGTCAAGTCTATAATTGTGTTTAGAAATTTACCCACCACTACTCTAGCTGTCTTCCGTATAAGCTTGTGTATAACAATATTTATTTAACTTTTTAATAAGTGAGTTTAAAATTAGACACCATAGTAAGGGAGATAGAACCCCTCCTTGTTTAACACTCTTAATTACTTTGGTTTTATAGAAACATTGAGCTATCCCAAAATAGAGCACTCCTTAAGCACGGTTTTTATTCACTTAATAATAAATAATAATAAAGAATGTATTATCAAAAGTTCCTTTGATGTTTAGGAATATGCCTATTACATATATTTTATCCTCTATAGCTTTCTCCACTTTGGTGGTTAAGCTATGTAGAGCTGTGTCAGTAATAGTTAGTAATAGTTAATAATAAGATGCTATAAGGTCCCTGTCTGAGGACTTATATGGTAGGTATCCTGAGACAACTATAATATTTTTACTATCACTTAATGTTACCATAATAGTTGTCAGGTCTATGCATGATAAATTATGTAACAAACTGTTTTTTATTCTATCATTAACCAAAATACAAGATCTTGATTTGTCTGATTGTTTGTAAAACAATATTAAGTCCCTTAATCTTATTAACATGTAACCATGGTTCCTAAATAAGTACTATTTGTTAGTGTTGTATTTTTCTTAGTTAGGGTCCTTAGCAATACACTGCTGTGTTACCTTTGTGATGCAGATTTATCAGCGTGAATTGTATAATATTCTCATACTGACCGTCACTAAGTTTGTTAGACTTAAATTTAATACATTCGAATCCTGCTCCCAGTTGGTCTTGCGACTCCTAGTCTGCAACTGCTATCATCGCCTCTTTGTTAATAAACAGTTCACTAAAAATTCTGTTATTCATATTGAGGTTTTAAATTTCAATAAATCTTCTATGAAGAGCCGTCAATTCACGTTCTTGTACTGAAAAGTTGTCTGTAAGATCCCTGTTTGTCACAAGATTGTTGTTTTGTGATTTTCCAATGTTTTTATTCATGTAGTTTCAACGAGTAGTTGAGAATTAAAAATCTATTACAGCAGAGCTCGATACTGCGATAAGGCTGAATATTCTAAAATGCATCTGGTGCCATAGAATGGTCATTTTAACTTTCAGCTAACTACCCTGTGATAGGTTAACAATCCTTTCACTTATTATGGCTAATTAGGGGGGCCTATTCACTGTTAACAAGCAGGTATGCCCAGGCCTACCGGTCCCAACTAACCAAAATCATGACCGATTAATGGCAGTGATATGTGTTATCAGCCCTACTGAGATAACTAGGGTCCATGGTGTTGTTAAGCTCGTAATCTTTGCGGATCCCCCTGCGGGACACTTTACCTTCTTCTTCTTCCTCGCCATAATCCTAAATACTTGGGGTCGGCCACCCTTATCTTAAACTTCCACTTGACACGATCTCCCACATCATCTACGCTCACATTAGCTGTCCTCATATCACATTCAATTACATAACTCAATCTCTTTTTTTTCTCTGCTCTAGTTTCTTATCAACCACCCAACACTCTGAACCATACATCATAGATGGCTTTATTACAGTCTTGTAGAATTTACCTTTCAGCCTCATTGAAATTCTTTTATCTCATAAGACGCTAGACACTTCTCTTCACTTCAACCACCCTCACTTAATTCTGTGTCTTACATCCTCGTCAATACCACCACACTTTTGCACAACTAACCCTAAATATTTAAAACTCTCCACCTCTCCTATCACTTCCTCGCTTATTATCATTGACAATATTTCCTCATTTCACCTACCTTGTATTCTCCTATGTCAAACTCTATATATTCTGTCTTACTTTTACTTATTCTTAAACCCTTTTCTTCAAGAGCTGATCTCCACACCTCTAGCCTTTGATTAATTTCCTCTCTATTTTCTCTTATTAAAACTATATCATCAGCAAACAACATGCACCATGGCACCTCTCCTTGTATTTACCCAAATAAATCTAACAATGTGTTTCTTAATAGTATGATTTTGCTACATTTCTGGAGGGCTAGGCCCCCCAAATTTTCTCACTCATCCCTAGTGATGTCTTGTACTAATAACTTACTACATAATATAATTTAACAAAAATTGGCACTAAAATATCTAAAGTTAAACGTTATACGCGTTTTTCAGACATCAACATAGACATTATTTATTAAACCTAAAAAAAATTGATAGAAACATTTTTTTTCTGGTTGTATTTTAAATTAGAAAAATAAATGTTTTTTTACATCAGTAATTATAATACTCAATAGGTATTGAGCCGTTAGTCTATATTGGGTTGTATATTTTAATTGATTAAGCAATTACAAGCAAATAAATGAAAAAGGGTCGGAGTTTTTACTTATTTGTGAAGAGCTTACTATAAATTGTATAAAACAATCATTGCCTATTTTTAAAAAGGCCACACATTTTTTACAAATGAAGTCTAATAAAATACTAATAATCTTTTATTTTTGTTTTTATAGGCAATTGTTGCAGGAAAAATATCAATTCAACAACTTAAAATAGCCTTAAGGATTGGTGATCCAATAACTGTAGCTCGTTGTAAATTGTATCTTGCAATCAGTTTAATGCAACGTGGCCAATTTAATACTGCTAAAAGTATTGTAAAAGAACAATATTTTTTTGTTAGATCTCAAACAGTGATAGATGAGCGACTAATAAAAATGTGTTATGGCATTTGGTGTAAATTACGTTATGAAAAAAATAAATATTACAGTATTAAATCTAAAATTAAAAAAACTGCATAATTGTTTTTGTTCATACAGGGATAATTGAATTATTAAACAGCTCAAAATTCTAAGTATATTAAGAAATTTTTTACTTTGTTTAAAATTTTTTTCACCCATATAAGTTTTGTTATTCTATATTAATTACTTATTATTTTAATAGGGTCAATTAAGTAAAAAATTCTATTAATAAATAATAATATATTTTAACAAAAGAATACCAATAAATAAATTGCATATTAATTATTGCCTTTTATTTAATTAAAAATAACTTTTATATGTCAAATTTAAAAATTAGGAATTTATGACTTTAAAATTACTAAATGAATATATTCTCTCAATTGTAATATAAATCATTGATTCTCCAATCATTAAGAATAAATTAAGGGATTGTCAATACAAAATAAATAAATAAAGTACCCATTAAATAGTAAAATTTCTATAAAATTTTAATAAATCTTTTTTAGCTTCGATGCTAAGCTGAGAAGGTATTAATTTTACCATATGTTTTTTTTTTTTTATGACTGTTGCCACTTTTTCTCAGCTCTCACTGGACCGATTTCTTTCAACAATACGTCAAAAGATCACAAATCGTATCTAGTTGAAGACATTACCCTCAAAAATTGAAAAAATTTCCCTCGTTTCCCGCAAATGGGGGAAATATCCAAAAAAATTACAAATTTAAAAATCGGTATATTTTGTCATTTTTTTCACTTTTTTTTCTTAAAACTTCCATAACTTTTTCAAAATAAACAAATCAACATAATTTTTTTTTACACTAAAACCTTAGATATTTACCTTTCATTTGATATCATTTTTTTGAAAATCTAACTCTTAACTTGCTCATTGGGGGGGATTTAAATGAGCAACTTTTTTACAAAAACTAACTTTTTCAACTTAATTTTTGAAAATTTTTCGGAAATACTGTGTCCTTTAAACATATATCAAATCAAAGGCTATGTTATATACTATAAAATGAAAAAAAAATTTGTCTCGACACCTTATCTTCTATGTGCAAATGGCTGTCGAAATTAAAAAAAAAATTTAATGTTTGCGATAAAAATCACTTTTTATCGGGATGTTTTTTGTACTTAAAACTGCCATAACTTTTTAAAATATTAACAAATCAAAATAATATTTTTTTATATTGAAACTTTAGATATTTCCCTTTTATTTGATATAATTTTTTTGAAAATCTAACACTTATTCTGCCCACAGGGGGGATTTAAAATAGCAACTTCTTTACAAAAACTAATTTTTTCAACTTAACTTTTGAAAATGTTCCGGAAATACTGCGTCCTTAAACATATATCAAATTAAAGCTTATTTTATGTACTATTAAATGAAAAAAAAAAAATTTGTCCCGACGACCTATCTTCTATGCACAAATGGCTACCGTATTCAAAAATATGTTATTTTTCTATTAAAATTCTAGGTTTTGTATTTTATTTTATCTTAAAATATCTTATAAGGGCAATACAATGACTTTCATGAATATTTTATAATTTAATTGACATAGAATAAAGTTCATAAGACATAAGAAATTAAACTTATTAATTTTTTTTTACTTTTTTAAAGTCGAAAAAGTAATTTTTAAATTTGAGTTGGCTTAAATAGACTATTTTATCTAGCGACTTGGCAACGAANGACTATTTTATCTAGCGACTTGGCAGCGAACCGTTGCCAAGTCGGTAACATTTGTGCCTTTCATGCTTATTGTAGGAGGTTCAAATCCGTCTGTGGCTATTAATATTTTGCATTTTTTTTTGAGTTAGAATAAAATTTTCAAATCATTTGATATTTATCTCATTTAGATTCAATAACTTCAATAAATATAAAGGATCCTATCACTATAGTGTCCCCTCATGAGAATAAATTTATATTCATGTTTAGTATTATTTTACTATGTGGTTCTTTTTGTGGATACGATTTATTTTGCCAACCCTCACTAGACCTACTTTTTTCAACGATACGTCAAATGATTAATTTAAGTTTATGATATTAAAGTTATTACTCTTAAAAATTGAAAAAATATTCCTTATTCAAATAAAAAGTAGCTTAAGCAACTTTTTCCATACAAACAATTAAAATCATTAATTTCTAATATTCTTAAAGTATTTATTGTCAAATTAGATTTGATATGATAAAAGTATTCAATTACAAAAGTAAATAATTTTACTTTGTAATTTATTAATTTTTTAACTCTATTTTAANTACAAGAGTAAATAATTTTACTTTGTAATTTATTAATTTTTTAACTCTATTTGTGTTTGATACTACCAGTCTATAATATTCCAATTTTTTTGTAACATGTTGCTATATAAATCATAAATTTAAAAGAAAAATGATATTTAGTTTCACCTGAATTTAACGTTGGATTTTTACAATTATAATCAAATTTTATAATACGCTCAATTGAGTAAATCTTTTTAACAACTTTTTTTTATTGGCTTTTTTAGATATATAATCATTAAAATTAATTAAATTCTGAATATTTCCATTGTAGAATCTTTTTAAACACCAAAAGTTAATTAGAAATGATTACTATGGTTTATATTTAAGTGATCTATTACGATAATAAATATAGTTTAAAAAAACACGCTTTTAAAGCACATCGAACTAAAAAGTTAAAAATAATTTTTAAAATAAGTTTAAAATAATTATGAACAAAAAATACTAGTATTATTGTGATAAAAGCGTGGGTGCTTTGTGCCATATTTTTCGTATATTGAGCGCCCGACGCTTTTATCACAATAATACTAGTATTTTTTGTTCATAATTATTTTAAACTTATTTTAAAAATTATTTTTAACTTTTTAGTTCGATGTGCTTTAAAAGCGTGTTTTTTTAGTTTTTTTAAACTATATTTATTTTTCACTTTTTAGTTTTATGTTATGATAGTAGTTACTATCAATATCATGGTTGTAACGGGTAACGGGAAATCAGGGTTCGATTCCGGGGAGTCTGAGAAACGGCTACCACATCCAAAGAAAACAGCAGGCGCGTAAATTACTCACTCCCGGAACGTGGAGATACTGACGAAAAATGACGATACGGAAATCATCCCTCGTAATCGGAATGAATACTGTATATCTCTTAATCAAAATAAAGCGTGTTAATAAATAAATTTTAATAGTAATTAGAATATATATATATATATACAAGTAAAGCGACTTAAGTACGTAAACGTATCATGCACTAGGTATAACCGTATTTTGTGGGCGGGCGGTTCGGACTAACGTTATACCTGAGGTATAAACGGCGGTAGGAATATATAAATATATATACGTAAGACGCATTAGACGCGGGCGTATAACTGACCAATAGGTCAGTCAAAATAAAAATTTGTTTATATATATATAATATTGATGACAAGCACGCGTGTACGGGTACNTATATATAAATAATATTGATGACAAGCACGCGTGTACGGGTACGATAACCAAAAATAAATTTATACAGGAATAGTATTGCCGGCGTATTGATGAGCGTGTGGTGGGGTGGGGTGGGGTGAATGCGTTATGACAGTCTAGTTTAGACGACGGAATATGCGATAACGCGTGGCGTTTGGAGAGTTACAAACATACATACATACATACATACATACATACATACAGGTGAAACTAATATAAGCGTGTTAAAAATATTAAAAAAATTGAACTTTTCTGATAAATGTACTGTAAATAATAATAAAATTTTCTAATAGCATATTAATCTTAACAATTTCATTTTTTTCTATTTAATAATGTCAATTTCAAACTTGCAAGTTGAGCTAAAAGTTATGGTAATAAATTCAACTTTAAAGAACAAAAAAGAGTAGGTTCAAAATAATTACTTTTAACCTATGAAAAATCAAAATCAATAATAATTTTAAAACAATTAATTTTAAAAATTATATACTATATAATTAAAAGAATTACTAATCTGGGTATAATTAAGAAAATAGAAATTGATGGTGCTTTTGTAATTATCTATCAATTTCTTAGAATTAAACACTATCTACAGATTTGCATCGAAGCATTTCTTATGATAGTGATTTTAATTACTGTCAGATTAAATCTATACTGGACCCAACTATGCAACGTCCCTATGCTGTGACCCCACTGTGCTGAGTTTTTTTTTTTTTTTTTTTCTTCGCTAATACATTTGTTACTAATCAGATTAGAAACATTAATTCTAATCTAATTTTATAAATTTATTAAAAATGCTTAGAAACAACACATTGAATATTTAATCAATAATTGATTGTTATAAATTATTGCATAAAAATGGAAAATTTGTGTGAATAACACTAACATTTAATTTTCATGAAAAAAAACTAGCAATACTAGAAAATTTTGTAGAATTTAGTATTAATTCTCTAAAAAAAACTCATAAATGAACCCCAATTAGTGCCTAGGAGAAGTTATATAAGACATCAATAAGATAACTAAATATTTGTAAAAAAATGTATTATATTTAAAATTTACATTATGAGTTGTTTTGAATTCTAACCATTTTAGATTTTTAACTTCAAACATTCATTAACTACAAATAAATTAAATGAAAGTTCAACATTTGTTATTAGTACAAATTATTCATATATATTTGAATATTAATTTAAAAACTTTAAAATAAAAAAAAACAAAAATCAGTACCTATGATAAAACCAGTACATTAATATAATTACAATAAAAAAAATTTAATGAAATTTATTGAGTAAATTTTAAATAGTTTTTTTATTTAAATTAATTAAAAAATATTTCCATAATTAGCCATGTTATTTCCTGCACTCCATGCTAAATGACGTGCACCATCTATTTCAGTAGCTACAGTAGTTCCTTCTACATAGGTATGATTAGTACCACCTATTTCAACTTTACATTCAGGACATATAGACTTTTCCATAGCACCTCCACACTCCCCAATGCAGTAGATGTGCCCATTTTTGCATTTCATCCAATGGCCTTGAGCTTTTGTTCCACCATAAAATGTCCTAGACATAACTTGGTGTATCATTTTTTTCTCTTCCTCAGTAATTATTGAAACGCCTTTTAATTTTTCTTCAATTGTATTCAATAAAGCTTGTACTGTCTTATCTCTCTCATTACTGTACCTATGACTAGTTAATATTATTATTTTAATATCATCCATAATCTTTTGAACTTCTATAGATAAAGTAGATTGTAATCCAATGCATGCTCTATAATTTGTGTTGTCAAGTACTTCATATAACATAACTACCCTTAAAGCACGTACCATTTCTAGGTTTATATCTAATTTTTGCTGATTGGATAATCGTTTAGCATAACTAAAACATACATTAAGCAACCACACAAAATAATCAATAATATTTTTCTTATAACTGTTATCTTTTATTTTAATGACACGTTCTTTGTAATTGGATATAGATTTAAAAACATTTAAAGTGAAGTCTAAAGATTCGATAACTTTCAATGACATAGGACCCTTGGTCTTGTATTTACTGTTATTTTTAAATATAGATGAAATTATTATGTTCCATTTTTTTTTAATATCAACGTAATCATTTGCATTACCAACTATCATTGAATCAAATTTCCGATCTATAGTTTCCAAGGAAGTTATAAGACTTTCGTTTTTCTGAAAATAATTTAACCCACTATTTCCAAAACTTTTTTTTTTGATTTTTGAAATATCAAGATAAATTAATTTTATTTTGTTCATAAATCGTTGAGTTTTTAGGATTGGAGTCTTACATAGTGGACAAAGTTTCATAGAAATTTCTTCATCTTGTTGATTTAACCACTGCTCTAAAGCATTAGACTCAATAGAATGTTGACAGTCCTCTAAGTAAACAAATCTGGAACATTTAAAATAAAGAAATTACTCAAAATGCTTTCTTTCTAGTACAATTTGATTTAAGTTGATTACAATAATAATTAATACTTAAATGGATAACTTAATTACTATGAAATAGGGATTGAAATTAATTTCATAAAAATATGAAGTTTATACAGAGGAAGATTGAAAGTAGGATAGACAGAAGTGTATTTGTTTTTTTCAATCGGGATATAATATATTTATAAAAATTTCTGTTTATTAGATTTTAATTTATAGAAATCCTTTTTTTTTTTAAGTTATTTGCTTCTAAAGAATATCCCATACAATTTTCTTCCCAAAGTTATTGTCTCACCAAATTTGCCATTGGCAGAGAAGTTAAGAAAAATCAGGAATTTATCACATATGCTAGAGAAATAGGAATCAAAACTACATATCTTCCTTTTTAGGTAAAATATTTTCACTAAACTACACAGCATAGGAGGGCATTTAATAGAAATTTTGGGAAGGCTAGAAATGTTGTTTAATTACAAATATTTTTTTTTGGCTCAACAAGGTATTTTTCCTAATTTTTTGAAGGCTAAGCTTTTCCTATGCTAATGAGCGGGTATTATGAAAATTTAGCACCAAACAATCTCGAACTAGATATATTTATCACAAATTTTATTTAATAATTAATGTTACTAAATATGCTTAACTTGCCATATTGTCATCCAAGAATAAAAAACGTTATGACACAAATTAGATAATTTTTCAATAAACTGTTTTTAAAAATAGAATATACATAAATTTATATAGAACTTTAATTTTTATTTAAGATAATTCATTATATAACGTTTAGTCTCATTGTAATAATTTTATTGAAAAACTAGGTTATTTATAAAATAAATAAAAAGAATATTCAAGATAAATACATTTTATTTTACATAATTGTCAAAAATTAAAATAAAAATCATGAAATTGTCTAAGTATAAAATACAAAAGAAATAGTTAAACAAAAAATGTAAACAGTTAAAATATAACATAATCAATTGTAAAATAAATAAGTCAATATTTTAGAACTGTCATCAATCGTTAAAATACAAAAGTAATATATTAAGAGTAGATTACTAATGGCTAATATTTAATTTAAAAAACCACAAAAAATACTAAAAAATTGTATATACATTTTTTGGGAATAATGTTACCATCAGCATTAAACACAAACTTTTTATATTCTAAATATATTTTTAATTTTAAACAAAAGTAATAGTTAAATAAAATTGTCAATAGTTAAAACACAAAATTAAAAAAAAACTTATTATTATTAAATGTGGCAGTTATATTTTTAATTATTATTGTGTGGTCAAATGTTTTTTTCTTTTGCGTTGATGGTTCTCTTCCAGCTATGATCTGTTCAATTTTTAGCCTATTTAATTTTTATTTTTTTTAAACCATTATGCTACCCGTCAATAGAGTAATTAGTTTTAGGCAATTGCTATGAACCAGATCACAGTAATTCCATATTTTAATTAAAAATTTAAAATTTTTTACTCTTTTATGATTATGACTTATGCAATCAATCCATATTTATACATCAATTGTATTTTAAATATTAACTTTTTTTTGATAATTTTTTTATATAAAATACAATTATATTCTATAATTATTTTAGTTCCATTTTTTTTTTCTATAAATAACCTAATCTTACAATAAAATATATCTATCGTGGTACTGTTCTGTCTGAATTATCATAAATCTATCAAGTGGCCTTATTTAATTTTGTGCATTTAAATTTTTAAGAAACTGATAACAGAAGATAAATTGAAATTATAATACCTTGCATCAGGTTCATCTTCATTCCCAAATACAATTGTAGTAATTTCTTCTTTATGGCAAACACGACAAAATGGAGGGCAAGGTTCACCACAAAATCCAATACATTTATGCCCGCATTTCAGCAAAACTTTACATCCTATGTAACAAGGATGACGATTACATATATCACCACATTTTTTTGTACATTTTAAATGTTCACACTTCCACTCACAATTTTCCTAATGATAAATTCATACTTTTAAATAATAACACATAAATTTTATAAAAATCTTACTTGACATGGAACACATGGCATGCCACATTTACGTGTACATTTAGAGTGAATACAAGCAAAAGAACAATTTTGATTACAAGGTGGGCACTGCATCTTACAAGGAAAATTACAACTAAAAATAAGTATTTTTGTTAAACCTTTATTTAATAAAACAAATTAATTCATAAATGTATTAAGAAATTGTATATAAAACTTTATATTCAAATTCTAAATGTAGAAATAAAAATAACAACAAAATAATACATACGTATGATTACAAACATTCACTTTATTACATTTTTGTTCACATGGTACATGTAAGCGACCTTGTTTACATTTACCGCAAGTACCAGAACATATATCACCACAAATTAATTTTTCTGAACATTTTTCTTGACATTTATCTAAAAGATACTCACTATCAGCGCTAAAATCTAAAAAAAAAACACATCTTTAAAATAATTATATTATCACTATTATTATTATTAACAATATTATACATTTTATACTTAACGTCCTCGCATAGGCACAAATATTTAAAAAAAAATTAGGAATGCTAAATGTAATTTCTTGTTACTTTAAAAATATTTTAATAGAACCATAAATATAATATATTATATTTTATGAGGATACTAAGTAGTTAAAGCACCTCCCTATTTGTATCTATGCATCATCTCTTAATAGCTATTGTTTGTGTTGGACTAGAGGTTTTCAATCTTTTTATTATGGCAATCTCCACCATAGGCTTAATCATATTTTAGAAATCCTTAATAATTAGTTTACAAACTCTCTGGTTGAGAAACACTATACTAAATGATGGGAAAACTACATAGGTCATTGCAAATAAATTGAACGCCCTATCTACACATTGGACCATCTCTAAAGTTATTTAATAACTTAAATTTTTTAATAGTACTTAAATTAAAAATAATTATAAGATAAAACATTTTGCATCAGTTTATCCATATTAATTAATTTTATCCTTTGGTAATCTAACTCATCAACAATGATATATATATATTTTTTGTTTATAATAAGGAAGTACATTTTAATTTCATAAAATAAAAATTATGTCAAATGAAAAAAAAAACATGATTGTGAAAACTTGGTTCTCATTTCAATTTCAAAATCAGAATATTCATGGTTTCTCTTTTAAAAATTGTTTCTTTAATTTAATTTATTTTGTTTTACAATATGATAAAATAAATGTCGTATTATAAAAATAAATCATAATATCTTACTTATTAAGAAATCATTATTTAACTTTAAACCATTTAAATGGAAATATAATACCAAACATATTATTTCATTACATTTTTTTTTATTAATTAATACTTTAATGATAAAATTAAAATTTTATCACTAAAAAAATAATTTTTTTTGCTGTCTTGGGATATTTGAAAAAAGATACAAAAAATTATAATAGACAACATACAAGGAAGTCCATACATTTTGACAAGTACTTTAACTTTTTTGTATTCTTAAATCATATCCAAAACACACTACATGCTATTGTTTTTCACAAAAAAAAAGATTTAAATAAGAGAGCTATTTATACAAATATTTGATAGTTCGACAAAAAAAATTGGAAAATGTAATTCAATGAATATTAGGCATTTCAATTATTGGAAGGGATAAATGACATGAGCACAACACTAACTATAATTTATAGTAAATATAGATATTTATAGAGGTCTATCCTCACCTAAACTAAATACTAATCTAAGAATTAAAATGTCTTTAGTTAATTACATATTACATAAAATCTTAATGAATGTTAATTTGTTAAATTTTTAATTTTACACCTATTATACAAGACAAAAAAAATTTGCACCTATAGCCCTAAAATTCCATTTTAGAATAAAAATAAAACAAATATACAGAATGTTCAAAAGGCTACCCGTAAACTTCTACAAAAATTACCTTTCTACCTGATTATTCTGTTGAGAAAAAACAATTACATAAAATTATCAAATACAAAATATTATCAGATATCTAAAATAGTGTCATTGGGTAAAACAATATCTTATAGAGCAGCTAAGCAATGAAATGGAAAATTAAAATACCAATTTTGTAAAACAAAGTATTTTACAAAAATAAATATACCTTTTATAAATTACCTTATAAATTTTAAGATTGTTATTTTATATTATGTATTATATTATGGCTTTAATTTTTTATATAAATTACCATATTTTAACTTCATTTTTATTTATTGATATAATAACATTTACATTTAATAAGCAATACAAGTTACACTATATTAAAGATCAGTTAACATTAACTATTCTAGTAGTTTACATCATTTTTAATTTTACAATTTTTTTTTATCCAATGATCTATTTATGAAACTAAAGCTTAACATATGAAATGAAAAATTTCAACTTAACTTTTGAAAATGTTCCGAAAATACTGTGTCCTTTAAACATATATCAAATCAAAGGCTATGTTATATACTATAAAATGAAAAAAAAATTTGTCTCGACACCTTATCTTCTATGTGCAAATGGCTGTCGAAATTAAAAAAAAAATTTAATGTTTGCGATAAAAATCACTTTTTATCGGGATGTTTTTTGTACTTAAAACTGCCATAACTTTTTAAAATATTAACAAATCAAAATAATATTTTTTTATATTGAAACTTTAGATATTTCCCTTTTATTTGATATAATTTTTTTGAAAATCTAACACTTATTCTGCTCACAGGGGGGATTTAAAATAGCAACTTTTTTACAAAAACTAACTTTTTCAACTTAACTTTTGAAAATGTTCCGGAAATACTGCGTCCTTTAAAATATATCAAATTAAAGCTTATTTTATGTACTATTAAATGAAAAAAAAAAAATTTGTCCCGACGACCTATCTTCTATGCACAAATGGCTACCGTATTCAAAAATATGTTATTTTTCTATTAAAATTCTAGATTTTGTATTTTATTTTATTTTAAAATACCTTATTAGGAGAATACATGGTGAAAATAGCTACCGTATTTAAAAATATGCTATTATTGTGTTAAAATTCTTGGTTTTGTATTTTATTTTATTATAAGGGGATTACACTGATTTTCATAAATATTATATTAATCTAAATGACATAGTATAAAAAATTAATCATATTTAAATTTTTTTGTTTCTATTTTCATCGTTAGAATGAATGTAAAATTTACAGACTGTAAAAATTGTATTGCAACAATAGGGCTATAAATAAATCTTAACCAAATTAATTATTATTATTAAAACATGTAACCATACTACCTTTATTTCGATCACAACATAGCATCCATAATTTGTTATGACCACAACTAAGATTTTTAAAGCCAACAAATACTATTTCTTTACAGTTCTGAGAATCACAGTCTTCTGCACATCGACCTTTACACATATGACCACATGGTAATTTTCGATTACATACTTCATTACAATACTTTCGTTCAGCTTTAATTCTACATTCTAATGTAACTTTATGACCACAGTCAGAAATAATCTTTGAAACCTTAAAAACATTCAAAATTTACTATCAGCATTTAAATTTGAGATAATCATTGAATATACTCACCAAGAACTTACATAATCCACATTTATTTGAACATTTTAATTTACATTTATGCCCACAACTTAACATACGTGTACATGGTAGAAAACATTTTATTTTATCAACACTTAATCCACATGGAATATTTTGTCTTATATGACCACATGGCAAATTTTTATCTATTTTTACTACACAGGATGCACATTCTTCATAACAACGTTTATTGCATTTATGAATACTCTCACAGTTTTTATTTATTTTTTCACATCTTTTTAAACATAAATACTAAAATATTGTAAATTAAATATAGATTAATTTAAAAATAAAATTATTTATTCCTATTTACTTTTTCGTGATTAGGATCATCATTTTTGTGACAATTAAGTATACATGAATGTCCACAATCCAGTCGATCATAACATTTAATTGTACATTTTGGGTCAACTTCAAAACATTTTTTTTTAATTTCATGGCCACATACATCTAATTTTACTAGAACCTAAGATTGACTTTTTAATTACCTCAAAAGTTTAAATAATAAAATAAATAATCTAATTCAATAACATACTTCTTCTTGACACTGATAATTAGAAGAATCTATTGAGCATTGAAGTATTACTGTATGTTCACATGGGAGTTCTTTTAATACAAGTTCAGAACAATCTCCACAGTCAACAAAACATTGCTTCTTACATAAATGATTAAAATTGCAACTCCTACAAAACATTTATTTAATTTAACAAAATTAAATAAATAATAGCTCATAGATGTATATAAAAGCATAAATAAGGGTTGCTGTATATAATATACTTCGAAACATGCTTCAACTAGTAGGAATACAATATTAATCCCAAAAATAAGAACTCTAGTTGTATAGTAAATATAATATCTATTCAATTTATACACACTATATACATAATTAAAAAAATTTAAATCTCTGCATTTTATAATATAATACCAAAATTGGTCAAAACATTTTTTAAGTTTATCAACAAACTATTTAATTTTGTCTGTTTTTCTTTGTATGGTTCCTGTACCCATTTTGAAGTGCTTTTTTAAGCACTAGTAAAACTAAGGGATAACTCACCTATCATATACACAATAAAACTTTTGAGGAGATAAATTTATTAATTCTTAGTGTAAAAAATATTTTTAAATAAATGGATATTAGTATCTTACGTTTTTAAGGACTTATTCTTCAAGAGGAATCTAAATTCCCCTAATTGCACTAGTGTATAAAGCTTAATCCAAGACAAAAGAAAATTTATAATTAAGAGTTATATAAATGTAGGATTAATTCTTTGTAAAACTAGTTTTTAAGATTACAATTTAAATTTATATTTGATATAAATTTTTTAACTTAATAAGCTAAAAAGGTATTAATTTTATCATTTTTTTTTGTGTCTGTCACTATTTTTTCTCAGCCCTCACTGAACTGATTTTTCTCAACGATGTGTCAAAAGATCACAAATCGTTTCTAGTTAAAGACATTACCCTTAAAAATTCATAAATTTTCGCTAATTCTTCGTTAATGGTGGAAAACGCCCAAAAAATTACGATTTTTAAAATCATAATTTTTTAAACTTTTTTTTTTTTCGAACTGCCATAAATTTTTTAAATATAAACAAATCAAAATAAATTTTTTACACATAAATACCTTATGTATTTTCCTTTCTTTGGGTATATTTTTGTTTTAAATCTGACCATTAACCTGCCCACAGGGGAGGATTCAAAAAAGAAACTTTTGCTCAAAAATTTAAGTTTTTTAACTAAAGTTTTGATAATGTTCCAGAAATAATGCGCCCTTCAAAAATATGTTAAATTAAAGCTTGTAATGTACTATAAATTAAAAAAAAATTTGTTTCAATGACTTATCTTCTAAGTGTAAATGGTTGCCATAGTTAAAAAAACATGCTATTTTTGTGTTAAATTTTTTTTTTTAATTTTATATGTTTTACAAAGTTATGAAAAAAGATTAGGATCCCCCTTCTTTCCAATAAAATTCAATGTGAAATTGTCATTTATCACATTTTTTTTTCAATTTCAATTTTACTACGTTATTACTTTTTAAAAAATGTACAACTAAGCAATTTTTTTATATTAAAATACCTAACAAGGGTTGCCATAGTAATGTGGCCACTTTTCATAATAGTTACATGAACCTAACTTACATTGAATATTAAATTTAACTTATTTTGAATATTTTGCTCTCCATAAGTTAAGAAGAACAACATTGAATTTTTGAATTACCTTAAATATCCCTTTTTATCTACTAATATATGCGAACTACTGTTACCAAAACAGTAACAGTACAGTCATTCACACCTTGTGTGATCTTTTTTAAATTAAATATCTCCACAAATAATAAGAATATAAAATTCGGTTTTATGTTACTCAGTAACATCAGATCACTGAAATGAAACAATTTTTAATCATCATACACCAAAATATACTTTGATGAACCACATTTGTGCGTCGATTTCAAATCTGCAATTAAATTTTTTCCAACAGCTCTTTTTTTATATTATTACTAAATTATAAAAACGATTATTTACACTGAAAAATGGATTTTGATTTTTAATATGTGTAAAAATAATCCTTGCAAATTTTCAATTCAAAATTTAATGTTTAACCTATAATTTTGGTCCTCTAAAGTTGATTTTTATGAAAGTTTATAATATAATAATGTTGTACTTTTAACCTTTTTTAGTTTGAAATTGATATCATTAAATAGACAATTTTATGAAGATTAAAAAAATGATTTTGTTTAGATTAATTTATGATAAAGAACTTATATAATTACTATTAAGAGTAAGTTTATGAAAAAAGCTCAAAATTTGGTTAAAATCACTTCTCATAAATAATTTCAATAGATATACTAATAATTTCTAGGTAACTCTTGGTGTTTAAATAGATGCTATAATTGAAATATTCAGAACTATATTTCAAATCACTATCAACAGATTTGCATTGAAGCGTTTTTTATGATAGTGATTTTAATCACTGTCAAATATCATTTATACTTGTCCCAACTATGCCACATCCACACTGTGTAGCGACCCTTCTGTGCTGTTTTTTTTTTTTTATATAAAATATACAATTTTTTAAAAAGCAAAGAATTTTATTTGTTTTAATCTTATATATATATATATATATATATTTTAAGGGTAGATAAAACATTAAAATAACCATTCACCAACATTTTATTCTACTTGAACCTTTGTAGGCATCTACTAAGACAAATATTTTTCTCAATGTATGAAATTTTTATCAATAAAACAGTCTAAATTAATAATAATAGTATTATAATATTAAAGAATAACTTTTTTAAATAGACTTTTGATAAGATTTGAATGGAACTCTTAATCAGACCTTATTGGAAGCAGATGTTTAGTATCTTATAGAATACAAATAAGAAAACTATTAAGCCAATAACCTATCCTAAATAATAATTTTAATTTTGTCTTAAAATAATTAATAGCTAGCACGAGTGCCAAGACTTGTCATGGTCGCATCCCACTTCAGGTATTACCTCTGATGGCAATTGCAGCACTTCATTTTTATGACCAACAGGTCGCACCATGCGCGATGGACGACGGGCAGGGTAAACCAGTCACACTGACTTCGGTATTACGTTTTTTGTTTTTAATTAATGTTATTTGTACTGATTTCAATAGACTGATTAATATATATTATATACATATCCAATCTCTATTTAGATATATACCTTTTTTATCATATTATTATTATTGTAAATAATATTATCGTGTAACAAACTTTCTTATGTTATTAATTACTTGTTAATTAATTACCCTACACTTCATCAAACTGCTTTCATGTAAATTTGCATAAAAGCATTTCAATTTATAATTTATTAGTTTTTTTTATCAAATTATTGATTAATATCAATTTATTTTCATAATTAATCCATACAATTTATTTTATTTTATATCCTTTATTTATTTAATACCTGTTACATGACTCTCTACATTTGAAATCTAAATGTTCTCTGTTATAAGGATGACAGATACTGGTACAATAATGACCACATGTCAATAGTGATCTACACAAATTACTACAACCTCCTTCAATAATTGAATTGAAATCATCACAATTCGACACCTTTGTGTATACACCTTTATGAATTGCGCATTCAAGTGTCAATTCATCACCTTATACCAATAAATAAAATATCTAAAGAAATATTCATCTAATGACACAAAGAAATAAAATAATTACCATAAGAATCTTGTTCAATTAATATTGCTTTAATACTTTTCCATAATTCACCAGAATCATATAAATTATTCATGTTACCAATAATATAGAGTCCACTTTTCGCTCTTGATAATGCAACACATATTCTATTTTCAATTTTCAGAAATCCTACATTACCCATTTCATTACTTCGTACCATTGATAGTAATATTATATCATTCTCTTCACCTTGATAGTTATCAACTACTATAATCTTAAGACCTTTTAAAATAGGATGCATTTTTCGTAGCTGTAAATTATTTAATTAATCAAAAGATTTTATAAAATGTACTCGATATATTAAATATTTTAATCAATTAAGATACTGTGTGTTATACGATAGTACCTGATGCACACTTTTTTGGGTAGTGTCTCAGTAGTAGATAGCTTAATTTACTGAACAAGAAAAATAAATTCAGTATTTTTCTAATTAAAAATATGGTAACATTTTTTTTAATTGAATGTTTAAAAATATATATATTTAAGGAGAAAATTAATAATAAGTTTTAAGTTAAGCAAATCAAATTAATTAAATTCTCTACCTTAATTTTTTAAATATTATGGTAAAAACATATAATGCAAATATGTCAGATATAACAGCTACTGTTAAAAAATAATCAGTTTTATGAATACATAACTGGTATTGGTTTTAACAGTAGCACAAAATTACTAATTCAATAAGAATTCTCAAAACAGATTTGTCTTTAGTACCATACAAATTGAAGATCAGTAAAGCCAATTTTTCCAAAAATAAAAATTTTAAAATTTATCTGTATTTAAAGAATGTATATGTTGATAGAAATAGATTTTAAAAAGTTGTCAGGCCGATCCTTAGTTAACATAATGTATTCTTATATAGATTTGATTTTTTAAATCCCATCACATCAGTAATTCCGTTATAGTATTAGTATAGTAAGAGGTTGTTTTCTACCAAAACAAAGGTCAGTACGTAGACGTATTTAAATAAAAACAATAAATATAAATTTATAATTACTGTTCTTAATTGAAACATTTGACCACTATAAGTAGTTAAGATTGTAACTTGACTGGAGTTGTAGCCTTGCAAAATCAAATGTCTTGCAAACATTATCAAAAATTTTGCTTCGTGGTCATTACTCTTGCTTGATATTTCTTCAACCTAAAATTAATTATATATCTTACATTAAGGATAATACATAGCTCACTAATGAAATAATTTGTTTTACATTATCCAAAAACTTTAGTTTTAATAATTATTATACTACTTTTTAAATATTTTTTAATTTAGGATACCCATTTATAAATTTTTAATGAACATATATAATCAATTGAAAACAAGTATTGTTAGTACACACTTAGTGAGTATAGTTACCATGGACATCCATCTAATAAAATCTAAGGAGGACAAAACCATTTTTTTTTTAATATACTTCAAGAAAAAATGTACTAAAATAAAAAATTCCTAAGACATAATGTATAATAATATAAGCTTTATTATAGATAAAACTAATTGTTTAAATAAAACTATTATATATAAATTTGTTTAAAAAAAAAGCATTTTTAAGATGATTGTATATTTTCCAGGGGGTCATATCCTCATTGCCCCTTCCCAAATCTTTAATGTCCCAATGAACATTAAAATTATCTTTTAATTTTTAAAGATTAAAAAAATACAATAAAATAAGAACTGATAAATAAAACTTTATCAAAATACATTAATCACAAAAATCGAACCAAAAACTTAGTAAATCAAATTTTTCTTTTAAAAATTTGCTGAATAATATTAATATATTTTAACATATCAATCATTTGTTAAATAAACAAAATAATATATTCATACTTCTTTTTCAAAATTATTATGATTAATGAAAAATAAATCTTTTGTAACTCCTAAAATATGTTCTCTATCATAAACTGAAATATGATTTTTTAGTGTGGCATAAATTGTTGGTGTGATGAGAGATGATATTTCTGGTCTCATTCTATGTTGTTCGCCAAGTGCATAACATGGTACATCATTATTAATCATACGTTCAAATAAACTGATATCAAGTTTATAGTCTTTTGCTAGTTTATAGACAGCATTACTTGGACGTAATTGTTTATGATCACCTAAACAACAATAAAATTTATTTCAGAATACAGATTATAACTTGTAAGGCAATCAAATATTTAATCATTGCTTGTGAACTTTACTGTCTTTCTGTATTAAACTACTGGAAATTTTATTCAGATGTATGGATAGTTCATTATTTTTAATAAACGCGTATTTACAGGTTCCCAAGTTAAAACCCTTTAGAACCTGAAAAATACCTAAATTTTGATGTAATTAAGAAGGGGTAGAAAAAAATATTTTTTTTATAAATTTTCTTTTTATCATTAATAAAATGTATATTTAATCAAACATTGGTTTTATTTATTATTCTAATTATAATAAAGTAATAATATTTTAAAGGATAAAATATGATGATAATAGCTATTTATTGTAGGAAAAAATTAAACATAAAAATAGAATTATTTTTTTATACACTAATGAGTGAATAAAAAAATTAATAAGTATCATTTACCAAGTTGTTACTAAAAATATATATAAAAAAAAAAAAAAACAAAAATATAAAGCACTATATAACTTAGGAAGTTTTTTTAGTTTTTTCAAAATCGAGAATTTGAAATAATCTATTCAATTATAAATGATTATTTATCTAGTTAAAAAATAAAAATAATTCATACCTAATTATGCTTCAAAAAGTGTAATAATGTGCAAAATTAATAAATATGGCAATATAGATATATTGCAAAAAATAATGCAAAATATTGAATCCAGACGCTACTTCTATCTTATAGTTTAGTAATCTTGTAATAATTTAATTACATAACCACTTATAAGATTTAAATTCTTTTTTAGTATTACATTTACCAACAGTACTTTAAACAGAAAGTTATGTTAGTGGTGTAGACAGCAGGATTTTTTTAAGAAAGCTAATTATTTTGTACAAGTTAAATTGAGGTTTCCAATGAGTTTAACATGTTGATGTTGAAATATTGGTTTATATTCAATTAGTGTCAAATTTACCAAGGGTATAAAATAACTTAACCTCGAAATAAGAAAGATGATTTAAAAATAAAATTAGTAACATGTTTTACCAATTAATATTAAATGTTCACAATAACGAGTCAGGGATGATATTATATGTGCTTCTAAAACTTCAGCTGCTTCTTCAATAACAACTGAAAGATCATAAAAATCATTAAAATAAAAATATTGTTATTATAATCATAAAATGAATTTTCACCTATTGGTGATTGCAATCCCTCAAGCAATACTCTATGTTTTGCTGCTCCAGTTGTTGTCATTGCAACAACGTGCATTTTATTCAACATTTCAATGTTCTCAATTTCTTTTAACTCAACATATTGTTTATATAAAGTTTTATAGTATTTTTCAAGTAACATTATTTTATTAGAAAATTTGAATTTTATTTCTTTCACCCAACTAAAATACATCAACCATCTATCTCCTATATTTAAGGAATTTAAATCGTTTGTTATTTTTGATACTTTCTGATTAAGATATACTAATTTTAACATATCTCTAAAGTATCCAATGATGTTTTCTATTTCTCTGAGATTAATTTGTGCTTCCTCTACTTTATTATAATATGTATAATTTCTTTCTGCTGTAAGCTGTAATTCTTTAAAATCTAATTGAAAATTTTGATAATCTTCTAGTAATTTTTTTAATGTCAGACAGTAAATAGCAATATGTTCATTATCCAACATTGATGCCATTAAATCAGGATCATCTGTTTTATACTGCATAGTATCATCAATATCTTCTTCATTCAAAATATTAATATTCATTATTTTTTGTTTGTTTGGAACACTCGATGATGAATTTTGGCTTATTTCTTTTAAATAAACAATAGGATCACTATTAAAATAAGTAAAATCTTGAAATAACCATGAAAGTAAATCTAAAGGTGTTATGAAAAAGTTATGGTATTTTAGTGGTATACCATTTTTCAGTAAAGTCAAATCTAAAATACCGCCATTATTAGAAATTTCTTCGCTACAAACTCGAAAATAATTTATTTCACGCATTGTAAATTTCAGTGTATCATTTATTTCTCTAAGACTTCTAGATACATTAACAGTTCTTCGGTACTTTCGAGTAATATTTATCAAACTATAGTGTTGTACTAATTCTGATTTGGACTGCCCACCGATTCTAACAACTTGTTGTGTAAATTGTATAATTCCTTCCATAAATTGATCAAGAGCATGATTTGTGAAACATACCACTAAAATTGGTTTAGTAAGATTGTTAGCTATGTATAAATTTTCAATTAAAGTTTTCATTATCTTTAAACCAATAAATGTTTTTCCAGTACCAGGTGGACCTTGAATTATAACTAACTCATTTTGTAAAGCTGCTTTAAATGCTTCATACTGCATTTCATCAAGTTTTAATTCATGTTTCGATGGCCAAGAATTATCATTTAAAACATCAAACGGTTGCAAAGAATCCACACAATAACTACTTACTGGTAAACTGTTAATATAACTTGGATAATTTACAATTTTTTCAGCAAAAATAATGTACTTTTCCATAGGAAAATTGTCAGAATACATATTTTTTAAAGCTTCCATGGTACACTTATATGGTTCGAAGAATACTTCACTTTCAATCATTGTATAATTTGAAAAATATGCAGGTCTTATGTCTTGTAGTAACTCAACAATTAATATTCCTTCTTTTAATTGATCTATTTTTCGATCTAAAACTATTCCTATAAAAAATGAAATAAAATTATCTGAACTAAATAATAGTAAACTGCCAAACATAAATCGTTTGGATATGTCCCAGTTGACTCTTATTTTTTTTTTTTTATTGAAATTCAAAACAAATCCATATTTATCTTGGACAAATTTTCCTTTATCTTCAAATTGAACATTGTGATAAATACGTATATTGTTAATTCGTTTTTGTTTTTTATCCAAAGTACTTCCTTTTAAGCTTTTCTTATAAAACTGAATTCCTTCCCGGAGAGGAGCAACAAAATCTTCTCGTAAAAGACGAAATTGAACATCTAAATAATGTTCAATGCTATGGTAAGATCCATTGATAACATTTGGTCTTAAAAATGGTCCCTCCCCATCAATATCAGCTACTGTTGGAAAAACAGACAATTCTCTAAAATTTTCAGGTGGAGTTGAAAGTTGCACAATGTTATCAAGAACTAACTTTTCTTCTTTTTTAACCTCTTTAGTAAGAATAATGTCTTTAATCTTTTCAAGAAGTTTGTTCATTTTATCAACAATTAAATCATTCATGAAAATTTCATGACGATACATTTTTATACCCATTAAAGCTATACTTGAACTTATAACAACATCTTGTAATCTTTCAACTGCTGTTTTTGGAAAAAAATTAGTAATGGATTCAAAAACTAACAAACAGTTATTAAAAAAATCATTCATGTTTTTAATTCTTTTTTGATTATTCTCAGTAGGTGCTACTAATATATATGTTTTTAAATGACTTATAAAAATAACATTTATTGTTTCTTTTAGTATTGCAAGTTTGCTCTGTTCATATTCAGTAGCACATATCTTTGCAACTACTTTTATAATTAAAAATAGCCAGTCAGGCTCTTTATTTAAGTTGAATAAGTCTAAAAATCCATTAGAGCTGAAAATAATAAAAACTATTTCAGATGGATCTTTTTCAGACAATTCTTCTAAACGTTTGTATCCAAAATACTTTTTTTTTAAATCATTTTTCAATACAATTTTATTATTCTCAACATTATCTTTATTACCATAATCTTTGATATGAATTTCAGAACTTGTACTAGGTTGAAGATTTCTGACATAATATTTGGAACTTGATTGTTTTTTGGTTTGAGACCTATTTTGATTTTGAATTTCACATCTGTTTTTTTGCCTTTCACTGGTTCTTTTTGAAGCCATGTTAAAAAATTATTAAGCTAAAAATAAAATACTTTAAGTAAAACACAATACAAATTTTAATAAAATATTATTTATAGAGTCCTAAGGAAGCACATAGGTTCACTGTAAAAACAGGATTTTCCAGTGGACTCTTTATTTATTTAGCTATTATTTATTTTATAATTGAGATCTATACTTTTGGTTTGTTTATAAATGATCAAAATAAAAAATAATTCACAATTTATAACAAATTTTAATGTTTAACATTGATTCTCAAGATATTATAAATAACTTAGGTACTAAATGTAAATTGATTGAAAATATGTTATTATTCTAAAATTGATTAATAAAAGAAATTTTGAAAAAAAAATAGTTTTATTTATTTAAAATAAGTATAGCTTTGACAAACCACAAGCATAGCGAGTGGATTTTTTTTTAACAATGTAAAATCTAATATTTCTTGGTAAATATTAAATCACCTATTTGCCCCTGGTATCCTACAAATGAGAACATTGACAAAAAATATAATATTGTACTCAGTTTTATCTTGAAGTATATAGATAGACAAAACACCAACACAATAAAATCCAAAATAAAAATATGAACAATTTCATTGAATTATTAACCAAACAAAAGGAGAAAAAGTTAAATAATTTCATGAAAATTTACAGTATTAAAATTAAAATAAGTAGATGTTTTTATACTTGCATATTTGATAGGTATAGTGGATTTTGCATGGGTAATATAGAGATAGAATCCTCATGACAGAAATAAATACATGGTAATTAGGAGGGGGCATTAAAAAGATTTCTTAGACATATCACCCTGTGACAAGATCTTGAAAATTTAAATTATATACCCTGAGGGGAGTTTATAATTTGAATGAGTTGCTATGTACAGCACAATTTACACTCCTCACCAATACCTTATACCCTTTAAAGTATTTTTCTGTTTGTACCTACAGGATATTCATATCAATTTTTATTGTTCCATCAAAATTTCTAAAAGATGGATACCTAAAATTTAGCTACATTAAAATTTTAATTTAATTCTAAAACAAAATGGACATTTTCTAAGAAAAATTTGTTTTATAATTATGTCAAAATAAATATTTTTATCTTCTTAATAGATTTTTTTTAGTCTTAGACAGTTTATAAAGGTCTATAACAGCATCCACTAAAAGGTTTCTTAACACATGAAAACTCGAGGATAGGTGGATAGGTTGGGTTGGGTTATATAGTATATATTCCAAAAACTACATTGCCATATGTAATTTTAAAAGTAATAGTATGATTCATGAAAAATTCATCTATCTATTTACTTGCTGAAACTATTCAACAATATAAATTTATTATATTTATTGTTCTAATGTAAACTTAATTTTATGATACATTTATTACACAGGATAAAAATATATATATTATATTATATTATATAATTATAAAATATTTCCTAAGAAATATTATTAAAAATAATAATTGACTTTTTTGAGTATCAGATAAATTTTAAAAAATAATTATTTATTATACTCAAATGATGTAATTACCATTTTGTGGAGTTTCTAATACACTAAGTTTTATTTAAAAAGTAATAACAGTAGTTTTATAAAATTATTTACCTGATAAAAATAAACTGGTTTAATATAATTAATTATAATGATACGAGTTTTTAATAATCAACACGAATAATATTCGAATATAATTTATATAACAAGTCCTAATGTAATAAAATTTAATATTTAATAAAAATCCACAAAATCAATAATAAAATTATTTAGTGTAAATAATACAATTTTATAGTTAAACAACTACAACAATCTAAAGATCTGCCATAAATTATATGTGGCTATTAACTATAAATTTTGCTGTTACCTCATTAATATTTTGTATCCAAAATAATACAGAAGTATTTTTAAGTAATCTTTATTAGTTATTAGAGTATGGCCAAACACAACTAAAGCGAATATAGTAACATAGATATATAATAAATAAGATAAACATATATTATTAGGTGCGTCGTTATAATTCAGTTAATTGATCCATGATTAATGTGATATACAATATATTATTGATGGCGGTGATACATTCTTCCCCTTCTATTTATAAGATTCACTCAATACAATAAAAATCATATCTGAGCAATACTCCAGACTATGTAGAATAGTCATTTATACTATTTTCATATATCTGTGGCAATATTGTCAAATAATCAAAAAATTATTCTCACTAATTTCTCTTTCAGATTTTATGTTTTTGTGAATTTCATTAAGAGTAGTTAAAAACATGATTTAAAAAAAAAATAAAACTTGTTTAAAACATAAATAAACAGTTTAAAATGCCCTATGAACCAATATAAAAATTGAAAATATTATGTAATATAGACTCTTAAATGTAACAAACCTGATTTCAATTTTATAAGTGAATTAGATTAGGACGTAAAAGATATAACATTGGAGGGACGACGAAAGGAAGTTTATCTTCCTAGCATTATTTTGTCTTTTTAGGAATACTATACTATAAAATTCTTCCAGATCCAACTTATTATAAGGGGCTTACTAAAATAAGATATAGAGCGAGATTTATCACAACAAGCAGTGACACTATTGATGCTAAATATACGTAAATGAATTTATCATGTATCGTAGTATTTACATATTATGTAAAAGCTGGTAAAGGTATATTTATAATTTGAACACATTTTAGATAATTTATCCAAAAAGACGCCGTTTTTTATAATTGTCGCTTTGAAATCAAATTGATAATTATTTACTAAATCGTTACTTAAAGTTCGAATTAGAAAAAATAATGTTTACTATGAGCAGCAATAAAAAGATTGTTTTTTTTTTTTATAATTACCATAAAATTAATTATGGTCTATTAAAACAGATTATTGTTGCTTCCGGTATTATAAAAACCAAATTCATGATGAATTTGTATTTAAATCCAAATCTTTCAACAATTTTAAACCCCAAACGGTTGATCGGATAAAAAAACCCAGCACAGGGGGTTCGCGGCACAGTGGTGACGTGGCATAGTTGGATCAAGTATTATGATATCTGATAGTGATTAAAATCACTATCAAAAAAAAAAACGCTTCAATGCAAATCTTTAGATAGTGTTTAATTTTAAAAAATTGGTGTTTTATTCCAAAAGCTACATGATCTGCTAGTTTCTTATTAATATCCTGATAATATAAAAAATAAAATCGAGAATTTGAATCCCCCCCTGTAGGCAGGTAAAAAGTCAGATTTATAAAAAAAATATACCAACTAATAGGTAAAGACATCATGCATCTATAAAAAGAAGAATTATATTGATCCATACATTTTAGCTTCGATGCGAAGCTGAGAAGGTATTGGTTTTACTAAGATGTGTTTATTTTTTTTATTTATTTATTTTTTTTATTTTTTTTTTTTTTTGTGTCTATTACCACTTTTTCACAGCTCTCACCGAACCGATTTGTTTCAATGATACGTCAAAAGATCACAAATTGTATCTAGTCGAAGACATTACCCTCAAAAATTGAAAAAAATTCCCTCGTTCCCCGTAAATGGGGGAAACCTCCAAAAAAATTACAAATTTAAAAATCGCTAATTTTCGAAATTTTTTCAATTTTTTTTACTTAAAAGTGCCATAACTTTTTCAAAAATGAACATATCAATATAATTTTTTTTT